ATTTATACACAATCTCTCCAGTGCTGGTTAGCCAACCTAATTACATTTTCTCATTTTCTTTTTCTTTTTTTTTTTTATCTTAGCAAGTCATAAATGGGGACTAGAACAGACACGCCGTATTATGCAGCTGCATTTATCATTTAACCAGTTCCAGTGGTCGGACATCTCAGTTTCCATAGGCTTACTCCAAATAATACTTTGTTCTTTTGGTGCTTCTTTTACCCATTTTGATACTTAGTCCATGGTGATAATTAAGCAGTTCTGTCTAGATTTAATAAAGTAATTAGATAAGTACATTTTAGTAAAAAGACAAAAATACATTGTGACATTACTGAATTAAAGCTAAGCACTTTTACTATGCATCCTATTTTGTTGTTTAACAGGGATTTGTCCAGAAGGCATGAGGCTCAGTAGGTTAAGCTGCTGCTTGTGACGCCTGCATCTCATTAGAGTGCTGATTCAGGAAGGACTCTTCCATTTCCAATCCAGCTCCCCGCTAACATTCCTGGAAGGCAAATGGTGAGGGCTCAAGTACCTGAGTTCCTGCCATTCATGAAGGAGATCTGGAATCAAATTCTGGGCTTCTGCCTTCAGTCTGATTCATCTCTGGCTGTTGTGAACTTTAGGGAATGAACCAGCAGATGGAAGATTCTCTTTCACTCACTCTTTCTCCACATCCCATCACTCTCCCTTTCAAATAAGTAGATCAATATATTTAAAAAAACAATTGTAATTAAACAATACTTATTTATCACCTTCTATAGTTGTAGAATAGTTCATTCAACTGAAAGTATTTATAGCTGACTTGTTTTCTGTTAAGTGCTCAGATAAGCAAAGTCCATCCTCTACTGAAGATTTCAGTTTGGAGGTCAGAAACAGATGTCCAATAATACGTATACGTGTCTTTATTTTTATTTCTATTTGCATATGTCCCCTGCACTGAGAGGAATAAAAAGGTAACATTCTAACTCATTCACCCGTACGCAATATAATGGCATTTTTATGCGTCTGTATGGATGGGCTTAAGGCACCGTGGCATACTGCTTTGAACACTAGCTATTATGGTTATTGGATGATGAGTCCTGATCGAAGAATCCATAATACAAACACAAGCTGTTGTTCTTTTCGGCACATATTTCAGCTTTCCATGGTGGTACTTTGTTTTCTGCTTAATCCCTATCTTTCCACTTTAAGTAAGCTTCTTGTTACTTTGTAATGTTTTCATTACATAGCACAATATAACTAATTAAAAGGCCTTTTGTACATGCTCAGAATTGTGACATGACTTTCTTTATCCTAGAGGGCTAGAAACGATCCCTAGAGCTATCTAAAGGGCATTATGAAAGTGGGGGCCAAAATGGCAGATCCCAGTCAAAGTGAATTCCTATTCCTGATGATTTATTGTGTCTTATATCACCTAATATTACATAAAGAATCTGGCATACTTACGGGAAATAAAGTCATTAAGATAAGCTCCTGGTCTTGTGTGGCTGAGTGAACCATGGACTGACTTTATCTAATGCCTGGAATTAATGTTTATTAATGTTCCTTGAGACTGCACAATCACACTTAGATTAGTTGTGAACTATCTTTATCTAGTGAATTCTTTTTGGCCTTTTGACATGCAGGTTTGTGTTTTGTGGTTGCTTAAGACCATGCTTCTGTTTGTAAGTTTCTCCAATATATTTTACTCTATAGAATTCTTGGTTTTGTCCTCTTTTCTCCACCTTTTTCCTATACTAAGAGTTTTTTTTTAAATCAGTAAGTATTCATTTAATATTAATGTTCTTCAGTTCATTCATTCATTTTATGCCTTTATTACATAATTACTGTGGACCAGCAATTATGGCTACAAAATATGTAAAGTCCCTGACCTCAAAAATATGAGTCTATCTCTGGAGAAACACAAATGGACACAGTGACAATATACTGTCCTGAGGTTATAATCAAGGTTGTGACAAAGAAAAGAGAATAACCAGCTGAGTTTGACATTACTCTGCCTCTACACGTCCTGCTACAAAGAAAACACTCTCTTTTATCTGTTCCCAATAGTGAAGAAGGTTCTATAGTGTGGCGTCATGCTTATCAGGGACTTCGGGTAGCAAATGGTCTGCAAGCTATGGTAAGATGCCTGAGTCCCACGTTGGACTACCTGCATTCAGTATCTGTAGATCCCGGTAACTGGCAGTAACAGCTCATGTAATTGGTTCCTGACACTAATGTGGGAGACCTGGATTGAGTTTCAGGGTCCCAGCTTTAACCACTGTATGCACTTAAGCGATGAATCAGTGAATAGTTCTCATTTTCTCTCTCCTGTATTAAAAACAAAACAAAACAAAACAAAACAAAACACAGTTGTTGAGAAATGTCAACATCTCTAACACTTTTTTTTCTTGCCTATAAAAATTAAATGCTAATGTGATGATAGAAGACTCTATTGTGATTTACATAATCACCCCTTAGAGGTTTTTAGTTATGTGGGCATAAGTCCTAGGATTAAATTAACTGATGCATACACAGCACAGAGCTTAGTGTCTATCCAGTAGAAAGTGCTCACAATATCAATAGCTAGCTACTCATTAAAAAATGTATTTTCTTTTTTTTGCATGAATTCATTGAAGAAGATTTTCTTATTTTTATTGCAAAGGCAGATACAGAAAGAGAAGAAGAGACAAAGATTTTGCATCTGATGTTTCATTCCTCAAATGGCTACAATGACTGACTTGGGGCCAGTCTGAAGCCAGGAGTCAGGAGCTTTTTCTGGGTATCCCACATGGAAACCCAGTCTTGGGCCAGCTTCTGCTTTCTCAGGCCATAAGTGGGGAGCTGGATCAGAAGAGGAGCAGCCGGGACTTGAATTGGCATCCATATGGAATTTTGACCCTGCAAGTAGAGGCTTAGCTGGAGGATCCACAGGGTTGGCCCTGTGAATATTCCCCTCTAAAATAGAAGTTGCATAAGGTTTATTAAAAATGACAGATGTTCATTTACTCTTTTAACCCTTCAAATACATCCTCTTCACCATATACAGAGGCTTCTTAACTATAGCTACTCTCTCTGTCCACTGGGTGTTTGGTCCAAGACCTGTCTTTACAAGCTTATACTCTTTTTCCCCCAAAGTTTTCATGCACGGTTGCTTGAAATATAAGAATGCTAAACTTGAAAATATGGAGGGATGAGTATATTAGATTGTTCTATATTGTTTCAAAACATGTTTCCTTGTATCTTACTGGAATTTACCTTACCTATAGTAGTATCTGTAATTTAAGCTATTCTTACAAGTTCTGGATAATATTATTTAGTGATTCCAAATGTTACAACTCAGAGAAACAGTCACTAAATTGAACATTTGCCCACTCAGGAGCAGCTCTCATATTTTCATTTGAATCCAGTGCTATCTCCAACTAAGAGTACACTCAGTGACACGCCCTGTGCCCAAATGTAGACAGCTAGTCACATGGTGTGAGGCAGACATGGTACCAAGACTTGGAGACCTACGATGACTTCCTTATTCTCAATAAATTTCAGTTTTTCATGTGTAAAATGCGAAGAGTGATACCACAATCCTTGAAGGGCTCGCATGATGAACAGATGGCATGGGTTTATATACTCCGTCTCTCTTTAAGAAAGCTATCTGTGGGGCCGCGTTGTGCTCAGGTGAAAAAGCTGCCTTGTGACTGCTATCCTGTTTGAGTGCCTTTCTAGTCTTAGATGTTCCACTTCTGATCCAGCTCCCTGCTGACATATCTGCAAAAGCAGCTGAGGATGGCCCAAATATTTGGGTCCCTGGCAGCCAAGTGGGAAAGGCAGATGGAGTCCCAGGCTCTTGGCGGTGACCTGGCCTAGCTCCTAGCGTTGTGTCCATCTGGGGAATGATTCAGCAGATGAAAGCACTCTCTGTTTCTCCCACTGTTTGTAACGCTTTGAAATAAACAATGCATCTTCCATGCAGCAATTAGCCCTCCTGGTCGATGCAGAGGCTACTTCATAGAATACAAGAACATAGTGATTTTATAAAGGATATATTTATTTCTTCCTCTGGATATAATCGTTATTTGTAATATATAACAAAGCTAGAATTATGTGCAATAGCATTTTCAGTAGTTCAGCAAACATTTATTATATATATATATATACACACGCACATTATACAGTCATGTTCAAACTCAACTATGATACTAAAATAAAATCTCTATTTTCTAGAAGTTCCAAGATTATTCTGTTCAAAAAATCTGATTGCATTGTGTAAACGATCAATAAAATCCCAATATTTATAAATAACAATGATGTTGATAAGGTAGAACATAATGGAAATTTACATCGATGCCAGTCCTCCCCTAGCTATCCAAAGCAACACACGGCTGAACATTCCTTTTGCTATATTTAACTCTGCCCAGGCTTGTACAATATTTAATAAGACTTCTCAGATCAAAGTTTGGAGAAATGAGTTACTCTTTTCTAGCCTGGAGCCGAGTCAGAAGCAAGGAAAGAGTTACAGAGACTGGGTCAGGTGTTCTCTTCCCACCCTCTCTTTTGCCCTCCCTCTGCCGTCCCCCACTCCTCCACCCTCCCCTCCCTCCCCTCCCTCCCCTCCCTCCCCTCCCTCCCCTCCCTCTCTCCCTCTTTTTTGTTTCTTTCCTACTTTCTCCTGTCTTTCTCCTCTTCCTCCTTTCTCTTTCCTCTCACTCTCTGTCCTTAAATATGCAAGAACCGGAAACTTTAAAAGAAACTTTTTTAAAGCGCCTTTCCAGAAGGGGCGGGGTTTCCCATTTCTTCAGCCGCCTCCTCTCTGGGATTGGTTCGGAGTGAACTAGGAACATTTTAGGGCGGGGCAACTAGACCCCTGGGCTGCGAGCTCCTTCAGCTGCTTGCTAGTGAGCGACCAGGGAGGCTCCAGCAAGAACGGGGCCTCGTTGGGCCGCGAGGCTGCTGGTGGAAAGCGCACTGCAGGATCGCAGCAGAGAGGAAACTTTGGGAGGCCCGACGCGACTCTAGCGGAGATGTGGAATCCGCTGCACGAAAGCGACTCGGCCGCGGCCGCTGTGCGCCGTCCACGCTGGCTGTGCGCTGGGGCGCTCCTGCTGGCCTCCGGCCTTATCCTCGGCTTCCTTCTCGGTAGGGCGCCCTCGGCCAGCAAAGCTGCAGCCTCCCGCCAGTGCAGCGGCTCCGGGACTCGCAGGCTGGCTGTCCAGCGGGATTCTGTTGAGGGTTCGCCCCCACCCCCCCCCCCAGGGACTTGGATTTGGGTTGGAGACAACGTGTGGATGAACCTCCAGGAGTCAGTTGGAGTAACTCTAGGGGCGATCAGGGAGTGGTTTTACATAGTTTCGTAGAGATTTCTGAAAAGTTGCACCTGCCAGAGTGCGTAGACTTGGCGCGTTGCAGAGCAAATGCGGATCCCTGGGGGGTGTTGATGGGGACGGGCAGTCCAGGGAACTTAGCAGAAAGTGGCTCTTACCTGTTTGGTATACCTGAGGGCTGCTTTGGGTGTACGGTGGAATCCAGGTCTTAGCTGCAAAGGATTCCCGCTCCCCCCCACCCCCAGTTGCTTTTTCGTGCTTGTGAATAGTGGAGGCACCTTTGGGGACTAGATCGGAGATTGTTCTGAAACTGGTGTTTATTAGTACGGCTTTTACTTTGTTCTGTGTACCTAGTCAGAAAGCTAACCCACATCTTTAAGGAGATTAAAGCAGCACGGGTCAGCTAAGACTTTTAAACTCAAGTTTTTATTCTACCATATTCTGCTGGCCTTGCCAAGTTATGGGGTCACTCCTACATTCTCATTTCCTTATCTTTATGATGAGAAGAACATTATCTGCAACTTTTTGATAAGATTCTGACACTTGTTGCCAAGATCTTAGCACTGTGCTGGGATTTTTGCTGTCATGTATCTTCTTACGGGAGACGTTGTTCTAATTGGACTTGATTGTAGAGGACTGGGGTAAGGTTTCCCGTGGCTACCCACAGTTACCCTGATGAGGATGAGGACTGGGTAGGCTTGCCTAAGCTGAATCTCTTTTAGGCTGTGTAACCTTGGGGTTCAGGCTGTTCCTAATTGATATGTGATTATTATTAATGACTTACAGCTGTTGTAGGGCTTCAAGGCGGGAAGTGCTTGATGATGGTGATGATGCATTTCAAATCAGGCTTCAATCTTGTCGACTGTAAAAACGGGGATTAGATTAATAAGATCCACAGGGGCATGAATATCTTCTACATCTTTTGAGTCTGGCGCCTTAGACCGCTCGGCCACCCTGACATATTATCTTCCACATGTTTTAAAGGCGTTTTATTCTTCCAGGTGTTGCCCTCAGCCCCAACCTTGTGTACATGGCTTGGGAGTAGACACAAAATATGTTTTTTGTTAATGCTTCTATTTTTTTCTTTCTTTCTTTTTTTTCTCAGCAATCCCTACCCGGTAAAAGTCCCTAACCTCTTCAACAGGCTCCTTTGGCAGGTTAATATCTCATTGTCCCTATGACCTCCTGTGAGCCCACAGCCTAATCCATGGCCTTTTTTGTATGCATGGATAGAACCCTGTATCTCTTTGCATTCAGTCATGTGTTTTAATAGACATGTTGTGCGCAAGGGTCTTCAGAAAGTTCTGGAAAGGTGCACTGTCTCTTTATTCCATATTTCCATGGAATTTTGAATTAACCTTCTTCATGATTAATAACTGTAAAACTCCATAAAATTTCGGTAAGTGCTGAGTTAGTAGCAACTTTATTCTCAGGTCATTTCTCTAAGCAAATACAATGTTGATGAGCTATGTCCATCAAATTCAAAGCCAGCTGAAGGGGCAAATGGCTTTCCCTGCTCTGGCTGTGTGCTGCTTCCGGTTCTTTGTGGATTTCTGAATCGTAGTTTCTCTGCAGCTTTCTGAACTCCTCAAGCCTCCTGGAAACCCAAAATCTCAGCACATTTTGCTTTAGTTTCAGAGTCAGAACACATTCAAAGTATGTTTTCTTCAATATTTTGAAATAATTCATGTATCTAAAATAATTAATTCATTATTCAGTTTGTCAAGTGCTTATTCTGGCTCCTCAGGGAAGCAGTCACTGCAGATACTTACTTTGTGGAAGAAGCTGGGTTTGCTTTTAGATTTCATCTATATACCATATTTCATTTAAAGTACTGATTTCCATTGAAATTGCATAAAAATATTTTGCAATTTCTTTGTAATTTAAAAAGCTTTCATGATCCTTTTTCAGTTGAACTAGGCAAGAGAAATTAAACTTCAGAAAAATAGTCAATGCCACTGGTGACTGATATTTAGTGTTTTACATATATAGATATAATAATAAAATAAGACCTATCAATTATTTTGTTTCATTACTGTGTTTGAATATATTTTGCAGGGTGGTTTATAAAACCCTCCAATGATGCTACTAATGTAATTCCACAGAATAACCAGAGGAGGGCATTTTTGGATGAATTGAAAGCTGAAAACATCAAGAAGTTTCTATAGTAAGTGTCTAAGTGAAAATTCAGCTAATTGAAAATAGTTATCATTTGGTTCAGGAGTTTTGATCCAGTGTTTGATATCTAGGAACTGACTTTTCAAAGTTTTCTTTGTAGATAATCTTATGTTGCATGTTTATCTGGAGATCATCTGCTGGCTGCACTGCATCATTACAAAGATTTTGGAGCAGAAGTTATCAGACTTTTTCTGTGAAAGGGCCTGTCGTTTCAGGCAGTGGATCTATCACAGCATCTCACTTCTGCTTCTTCAGCAAAAAAAAAAAAAAAAAGAAACCATGGAATACATAAACAAATGAGTCTGTCCAGTCTCAGTAAACTTTACTGAGGGGCACTTATATTGAAATTTCATATAATTGCTGAATTACAAAATGCTTCTCTGCTATTTGAAGTGTTTAAGTCATCTTGACTATGGATTGTACGAATTGTACCAAAATAGGCAGTAGGCCAGATTTGACCAGAGAAGCTTAGTTTACTGGCTCATGCTGTAGAGGAAGATAATTTAGCTTAGCTAAAAATAAAATTGGACTTGGACTCAGACCGAATTGAGTGTGAATTCCATCATTTCCCAATGGCAGTAAAACAGTGAGTTCTCAAGCCTTTCAAGTCTTCATTTCCACATCTGTAAAATGAGAGTGATGTTTTTATGATGAGGGTGAAATTGGAGAGCATATATTTCTGTGTTTTTAAAAATAGATCTCTGCTTTCTAAAATAGCTGTCTCCAGGGTAGAACAAAGGAGAAAAGTAATTTAAAAAATGATTACAATGCAAAGCCAAAAAAAATTTTGAATATTTATAGGCTTATATAGATATTTATGTGTATAAACTTGATGAGAATATTTAGGGTTTTTTTTTTTTTCAAAACACAAGATGTCTTTTCTACTTTTGATATTTTCCTCATGCAAATTAGCGTAATGAATGTGTCCAAAAGTAACTGAAATTCCTCTAGTGATTAAAGGATTACCTAGTAAATACAGGTTTTAAGTTTATAGATAAAAATCGCTATATTTTTACATATTATATATTTGCATATGTACATTTTGCGCTGATGGATGCTAACATGATCTTACAAACATGTATGTTTGTCTTTACTGAAATAATGGATCTAAATTTGCCAGGGTACCTCTCTGCTGTTTGGAAGAGCGAGCCTGAGTGAGAAACCTTGAAGCTTTAACTTGTTTGTCCTGTGGAATCCTCTCCTGTGCTTCTTGTACTTTCTTTATTATTATTGTGTACAGCAGATACAGAGGAAAAGTGGAAGTCTGGCATGATAGGTCTTCCCTCCTAGAGAGAGCTGCCAGCCTGTGCCTTACCTAACTGCTAACATGGACTGACTAACAACAGCAACAACAATTATACTTTCCTGCAGTTCTCTTATTTATTCAGTATCTTATTTATTCTTCATGACTCTAACCAAATTTCTGTGTTCAGAAATCAGGGTTGCTCACATCAACACACAAAGGGCACAAATGGAAGGGATCACCCACCAAGTCCTTCAAGGAGCGCTGGATCTGCCAAAGCCTTTGGACTCTCGATTTTCCACTGGCCGTTTGCTTGTCAGAGAGCTCCCAGATAATCACAAAATTTCTGTGGGTCAAGGGTCATTCAAATCTCAGACCATCTATACTTTTCCTTTTATAATTAATGCTTTGTTCTTGTATTAGACATCTTCCGTTACTTTGCGTTATATTCCTTTGCATAGTGGATAGAGAAAATAATCAGGTGAAGCTTTGTCAGTGTCCCCTGGGTTTCAAGGCTGTTCTGCATTTCTGTCTTGTTGAATTCCCACCTGGTTGACTTCCCAGATCTGTTTCACTATTTTACTTTTCTTAAGGGGCTTTTCCACTTTTTCCCCCTGAATCTTAATATTTATTTTTAAAGTTTATTTTATGGGGAAGGCAGAGTTAGAGCTGAAAGAGAGAGAGCCTCCATCTTCATGTTTCAATTCTCTCCCCAAACTGCTGTAATGGCCAGGTTAGGCCAAACCAGACAAAAACCAGGATCCAGGAGTCTCATCCAGGTCTCCCGTGTTGGTTGCAGGGATCCAGGAGTCTCATCCAGGTCTCCCGTGTTTGTTGAAGGGATTCATATACCTAGGACAGCTTCACTGCTTAGCCAGGTGCTTGAGCAGGAAGCTGGATTAGAAGTGGAACAGCCAGTACTTGAACCATTGGCCAATGGAATGGCAGAGTGGCAGATGGAAGCTAAGCCACAATGCTGGCTTCTTTCCACCTTATTTTGAAAGACTAATTGTTTTAGATTTCTCGTCTCAGAATGTTACTGGTCTGTATTTCAACATCTTTTACTAAGTGGCTTGAAGTCCTCTGAACTCCTTTAAAGTATTGTTTTGTCATTTGTAGTAGGATTCAACATATTAAATAAGAATATAGACTTTTTTATGAGGTATGATTATGTGGCAATACTAGCCAGATAGAGATAAAGAAGCAAATTTTTGTTATTATAGAATTGGTAGGTTCTTATGTATTTTTATTAAAAATAAATGTATTCTAATAGAATCAACACATTTCTTGTGATACATTTTAACTGAAACAAAAAAGAAAGTTCTGAGACTATTATTTTGTGCCTTGAATCTTTGTGGAGCAGTGTGCCATGGTCCCCCATGGACAGATGAGAAAGAACTAGCCAAGGTTATCTATCAAGTTAGTGACCACTTACATGATTTAATCCAATTAATCAGCTGACGCATATTTTTTCTCATCTTTTCCATGATCATTTTGTTCTAAATGGTTAGATTCCAGCCCTGATAAGAACATAATGTTGCATCCTCATTTTTACAGACAAAACTGTAAGAAGGACTTGCACTAATAATAATAAAGTCAGGAGTTCATCTTCTCCCTGCTCCCCTTCCCGCCTTTTGTGAGTGGATTAGATTCCCATGTAGTGGCTCTTCTGGCACGTAGAGGTAGATTTGCAGCTCATACTTCAGCAAACCTGTGTGATCTGCATCCTTCTGTAGTTGCACTGTAGTTTGTGATATGTTTAATATGGAGAAGAATAGCACCATGATGGCTATTTTTTTTGCTCTCCCTGCAGGTAGTCATTGGTGAGGGAATATTGAAAACTTCTTATCTGCCTCTTGAATTTTTGTTATAATATTTTAGAAAATATATTTGCAATTCTTTATAAGGTGTTGTAACCCTATGGATTTACCAAATAAAGATTTTTAATTGCTCAATTAAATTGCTAAAATGAATTGGTTTAATCATCAAGGAATTTTATTTTTCTTTGTACATTTAGAGCTATTTGTCTTCATAGTTGATTTTATAAGCTCAAAGCAGTGATACACAGAATTAAATATTTGAGACAAGGATCAGAATGACTGTGTTATCCAATAAACTCATTTTAAGTTGGCATAAAAAATGAAAGAGTGTTGGCTTTGGACAGGCCTATATATTTAGAACCAGAGATTTACGGGGTTCCTGATATTTATGAAATATAAATAAGTAAATGAATAAATAACTTCATGTTACATAATGCCAGGTCATATGAAACCTACGCTTTGTTACAGACTTTTATTCTTACTTGAAAGAGTTTCAGAAAGAGAGAGGGACAGAGAAATTTTCTGGTTCACTCTCCACAATAACCATAGTAGCCACAATAGCCAGAGCGGAGCTGGTTTGGAGCTGAAAGCCAGGAGTTTCTTCTGGGTCTTCCATGTAGAAGCAGCAGCCCAAGGCTTTGAACCATCCTCTGCTGCTTTGTCAGGCCATTAGCATGGAGCTGGATAGCAACCAGGGCCAGTGTGGTGGCGTAGCACACTGATGCTCTGCCTGTAAGTGCTGGCATCCCATAAGGGTACTGTTTTGAGTCTCAGTTGCCCTGCTTCCAATCTGGCTTTTTGCTAATAGCCTGGAAAAAAAAATGGCAGAAGATGGCTGGAGGCCTTATGCTCCTGTACCCATGTGGGTAGGTGGGGAAAATCTGGCTCCTAGCTTCAGAACAGCTCAACTCTAGCTATTGCAGCCATTTGAGAGTAAAGCAGTATATGCAAAAACTCTCTCTATAAAACTTTGCCTCTTAAGTAAAAATCAATATTTAAAAAAAATAAGGAAGTGGAGCAGCAGAGATTAGAGCTCCCCATATGGATACCAGCACTATAAATAGAAGATTACCTTTGCTATACCACACTGGTCCAAAAAGAGATTTTTAAAATTCAGGAAAAACTACTTGCCAGCAAATTAACCAGGAACACAGCACACTTTCTAGGAAGGGGACATTTAAGACTAATAAAAGCTTGAGGGACTAGACAAGTAAAATATGGAATTATTCTACTCATGGTAATATTTATACAGTGAAATATGTTATACATAATTTATGAAAGTTATAATTTTAAAGAATGTTACACTGTGAAGCTACATTATGGGATTCTATTCATAAGACTATATATGAATTGATATATTTCAAATATTAAAAATTTTAAACATTGAAAATTTGATATAGTAATACCTTTTGCTTTTTTCAGTGCTTCATATTTCAAAGCACTTTTGTGTAAATCTTCTTAGCATTCTGATCTGTTGTGAAGATGGACTAAGCATCAGTTTCTAACCACTTTTCTTTTTTGTTCACCAGCAATTTTACACAGATACCACATTTAGCAGGAACAGAACAGAACTTTCAGCTTGCCAAGCAAATTCAGGCCCAGTGGGAAGAATTTGGCCTGGATTCTGTTGAGTTAGCCCATTATGATGTCCTCTTGTCCTACCCAAATACGACTCATCCTAACTACATCTCAATAATTGATGAAGAAGGAAATGAGGTAAAGCGATAAATAAAGAAAATAGTCTCTCCTTTGTTATGTTCTTTCTAAGTCCTTACTTTGAAGGAATGTCCTTTCCCATTTTCAAATATTGACAGTAATCAATAGCTTTGAGGCTTGCAAATAATACCTTTAATGTCTATTTAGCAGTGCTAACTACTTTCTGGTGATGTTTGAATTAATATAATTGTTGGACAGGTTCTGACAAATTGGTGCTCAGTGATAGCTGGTTTTAACAATTTTTCAGCATTGTATACCAATATGAAATATCAAGTTACTAAAGTTGATTTTTCATAGGTTTACACGATAAAGACACAAAATAGATTTATGGTCAATACGATGTTCAGAGACTCAATGTGAGGTCTGAGCCAGCAGAAATTTGCTATCGCTTAATATTTCTGTCCCCAGTGAGCATATATAATGTATGTCCAATCTGAAGGCTCATGAAACATGTAATTCACACATAATTGGCGTGCCTTAATCATTAAGTGTAATATCTAAAATAATTCTTTTCAATATAGATAAACTCTTTTACCTGGTCTTCTAAATTGTGTATAGCTTCAAATATATCCAACATTACTAGTGAATTAAAGGTGCCATATGAATTAAATGTCTAATTTTAAATGTTTAAACATAAGTTGATAAACTCCTTATTTACTAGCATTTTAGTAATTGATGTAATTTGATGCTAAATTTTCTAAAATAATTTGGGTCTTTCCACGTTATTGTGTTTTAAATCATAGTTGTTGATAGCAGATATTCACAATTTAAAGGAACTATTTCAAAATTTCCAAAATGCTTTTAAGATATTATGAATAATACTGACACACATGATAGTCTTGTAACATTTGCAAAGAAAGGAGTGATATCTATATACGATTAAGCACCAAGGAATCTTTACATTTTTTTTTAGAAATATTACTTAGTGAAATAATAGCATATTGACAGTGACAAACATATACATACGACTGAGTTTCAGTCTTGGTGTATGTGAGTCTCCGGAAGCATGCACCATTCTCTACGGGGAAAATGCCAGGTTTCCAGTGGTCATTCCTTCTTTTTCACCTCCCAGGTCGCTGTACTATTTTTATTATTCCTTATCATTATTTTCTATTACATGTATTTATGAAGTTATTAAATCCTTTAATAAAAGGTGAAATGAAACACTTTGGATATTTTCCTGAATGATATTAAAAACCTAAGACTTGTTAATTTTTTTCTAAAATTTTCATTTATTTTTATCCTATTTATATGTATACATAATAGCATAGTTTTCCAAAGTGTGTAACTCTACTTTCCTATTTCTGGAGGCAATTGTTATTCAAGTATATGTTAATTATGCTGATGTTTACCTCCATTTCCATAAATAACTTAGATCTGAGGATTATATATTGTCATCATGATAGTTGAGATATAGTTTCTTCCACAGATCCAAAAGCAATGCGCTCTTAGGAACTGCTAGATCCTAATATGGTTGGCAGTGAGTGTTCAGAGCTGGGTTGAGTAATCTTGTATAATCTTGGACCTTTAGCTTCAAGCTTTCTGTTGTGTTTTCCAGTTTGACTGTGATACATTAGCTTTATTTTTTATAATAAAAGGTGAATCATTTTAAAAATTTTATAATAAAAATAAATTTTATAAGAAAAGATAATACAAATATTATCTTTTTATTCCTCTTAGGACTCTTTCAACCCCTTTCACTTAAGAGTTCAAATGTGTTTTGGAATATTCTTATTGATTCTATAGCAGCTTCAAATAATTCATGGGAAAAAATGGAGTTAAAACATAATAAAAATCTACTAGGAACTTTTGAAGCTACCTCTCAAGATAACTACCTTCTTGCCACTTTTCTGCTTCTTTTTAATGACTGAGTATTCCTTTACTTGTCCTTTGAATTCAATGATACACTTAAAAAGATATTATTTTATATTTTAGTGTTTTCTATTCCTTTGTGTATATTGTAAAGAAAATGGGAGAGGCGGTGGGGGGGCGGGGGGGTGTTGAGAAAACAAGAAAGAACCATTTGCTGGTTCACACCCCAAATGTCCCTGAGGGCTGGAGCTGGGCCCGGCCAAAACCAGGACCCTGGAACTCTATTGAGCAAGTTGCAAGAACACAAACTTTAAGGCTATCTTCTGCTGCCCTCACAGGTGCACTAGCAAGGGATTGGATGGGAAGTGGAGAGCTTAGAATTTGAGCTGGAGCTATAACAGAAAATGCCTGTGTCTCAGGTGGTGACTTCAACTGCTGTGCTATGATGGTCCCTCCATTCGTTTAGATGTGACTTTTCTTTAATACATGTAGACACTGGATTCCCCCAAATAAATAATTTTTCATTGATGTGAACTTAGTAGTTAATTTTGTGCCTGGTAGCACAAAAATAAAAAGTTAAGGTTACTATGCAATGCCACTTCTTAGTTGGGCGTTATTATTAAAATACTTGTGTTAAATCAAAGCTATTTTTAATAGCTCACACTCTATGAAGCAACTATTTACTTATGCCTTATTTACACCAGTTTGTGCTGTATGCTACAATTATAAAGCAATTTATCCCTCATCCTTCACTAATGAGGCAGTGTTTCCCTCATTTTCCTTCGTTTTGGAGATCTTATTACCTCTTCTGACCTGTTCCTTATTCATATACTTTCTGTAGTGCTTGTTTTTCTCATTATTGATGTTCATTTGTCTTTTTTTTTCTCTTTCTTTTTTAAGGAAATATTTACTTTTTATTGAAAGGCAGGTTTACATAAAGAAGACAGACTGGTGTGTTCTGATTCGCTCCCCAAATAGCAGCAGTGGCCAGAGCTGGGCCAATCTGAAGCCAGGAGCCAGAAGCTTCTTTTGGGTCTGCTGTGTGGGTATGGGGACCAAAGTAGTACTTGCTTCATCCTCCACTGCTTTCCCACGTGCATTCTCAGGGAGTTGAGGTTACAGTGGAATAGCTGAGAATTGAACTGGTGCTGCTATGGGATGCTGGCGCTAGAGGAAGAAGCTTTACTCTATGTCATGGCACCACCCATCATCTTGTTTCATTAGTTTTGATTCACTGAATAGATATTGAGAACAGGATCTAAATTTATTCAATTCCTTAGGCCTCAAAGCTTCTAGCATATGGATATCAGATGTGCATTATAATATTAAGGTATAAATTAATCTTCTACTGATAAAAAAACTAGTATACATCTTCCTTATTGCTTATGATCATTAATATGTAGCTTATATTTATCATTGCTTTTTGTTTCTCTAGGTTTTCAACACATCATTATTTGAACCACCTCCTCCAGGATATGAAAATGTTTCAGATATTGTGCCACCTTTCAGTGCTTTCTCCCCACAAGGAATGCCAGAGGTAAATATATGATAGAATAAAAATGACACACAGAAGCCTTCCTTAGCCTCAATGTGCAAGCAGCAGCTAAAGAAAAGATATTTATGGAGTCCAAATGTGTTCTTTCTCTGTATCTAACAAGCTAGAATTCCTTGGTAAGAAAAGATACATTATTTTTGTCCATGATTTTCAAATAAAGCTTACTATGAGAAGAATACATCACAAATCCACACTTACTGAATTTCAACCAATGCCTGCACCTGTGTACTCTAAACTTAATCAATGTGTGGATATATGACTGTCACTTCAGAAATTTCCCTTAAACCTTTTTAGTCAATTCCACATATCTCTGAGGGGCTCATTCTTTATATTTCTCAACTTTGCTAATTCTAGAAATTCATACAATCATGTGACTTATAATTTTTGTATACCTAGTTTCTTTTTAAAACACCTTATTGCTATCATTTTCCATGATACAGTTTTATAGGTATAGGGGATCCCCTTTCCTTACCTCGCTCCCTATGTCTGCCTCCCACAATTTCTTCCCATATTATTACGGTAGTGTAGTCCCTCAGTAAGAATTACAAATTTAACGTTCTTCTATTTAAGTATATCATGGCATTGTAGGTTTAGGCAATGGTGGAAAATCTAGTATGAAGTTATCAAGATTTATTTTGCAGTTTCATTGGGAGTCCAGCTGTTATTAGAGAATAGAGATGCAAACAACAATGCGTTTTCATTTCCCAGTATGCTATTCCCCATTACACAATTCACCTATGAGAATATATGTGCATACTGTTCACCTATGTTTTTATTTGTTTTATATTTTGCATGAAATTTGCCTATGTCAGAGAGAACCTATGGTATTTGTCCTTTGAGGATTGACCTATTTCACTGAGCGTAATAGTCTACACTTGGGACCAACCATTTTGTTGCAAATGGTAAAATTTCATTCTTTTAAATGGCTGGGTAGTATGCCACAGAATAGATATATCACATTATCTTTATCTATTTCTCTTTCAACGGGCATCTGGGTTGCTCCATGCCTTTACCATGGTGGACTGTGATGCTATAAATATAGGGATACAGGTTGCTTTCTCGTATCCAGATTAGCTTTCCTTTAGATATATTTTCAGGAGTAGGATAACTGGGTCATATGGTAGATCAATTTTCAGTTGTCTTAGCACTCTCCAAACTTACTCCACAGTGGCTTCACTAGTCTGCACTCCAGCCAACAATGAAGTAGGGTACCTTTTTTCCCATACCCATACCTGCAGGTGTTGTTGGTAGATTTCTGTATGCATGCCGTTTTAACTGGAATTAGTTTATCTACTTTCTTACAGTAAGCATAGTGTTTGTGGGAATACACATATGCTTGGCATTGGTTCTGTTTTATTACCAAGATATTTCCATTGTATGATTATTGTATATGTTATCTGAGAGTAAAATACTGGTTACAGAAATTATCATCATTTCCCAATGAAAAGCATAAATGATCTTTCTAGAAAATTTTATGTGATTTACCCAAACTGGATGGGTATCATTGAAATACATTCTGGTTCCTGCACAGTAATGAATGTTTTGGTTCATTTATATTTCTGGGAAAAATACCGTGGACTAGATAATTCACAAAAGATAGAAAAGTACTTTGTGATAAGTCAAGGCAAAGGCAGGTCTGGCGAGGGATTCTATTACTTCATTGGATGTTTGTTCTTCACAAAATAGAAGGCAGAAGAGCAAGCAAATGTAACCCTGGGGAACTTTTTGGTAGGATTTTGGTTTTGCCAATGAGGGAGGTAGGAGTTCTAGTATGAATCAAATAGAGGTCTCTACCTCTTGAGGCTATCACATTAGCCTTCAGGTTTCCACACCTAAAGTTTGGAGGAGACGCTCAAATTTCAGAATGGAGAAAGCTGAATTTGAAAGGGTAGAATGTAATACATTATTCCAAATGGTTTTGTCTTTGATGGTCAGGTATCAGTTGAGTATTCTGGCTAGTGTCTTGCACTGCCTTCTCTGCAACTCTGTCAGCAGAGTGAAAAATTTCTTGCATGTGTCCACGTGTGTGTGTGTAAAGTATTACATTCACAGTAATCTTTTAATCTGTGTGTGAATTATCTGAAAGATGAAATACTGGGCTCTGTTTTAGACTGATTCTACACTAGCAATTTGCACAATCTCCATAAAATGTAAATCAGCCTATGGCTAATCATCTCTTCACATGCATTATAACAAGCTTGTAAAACAGATTTTTATTCCTAAATTTCACTGAGTCTGGAATGGAGAATGAAAGTTTGTGCTTTTAATAGAGTTCTAGGTTTTCTTGGTTCCTAGATTTAAAGAGCTGTGATTTGAGAATCATAGGTCTTATTTAACAATTGTGTCTCTACTCAAAAAAAAAAAAAACCCAACAAAACAAAACAGGAAGATGGGAGTTGGAAGGAAATGGGGGGAAAATGTAGGCCAAATAGTGCAAGATTGTATTTATCCACAGTCACAGAACAATGGTCCAGTGTAAGTTGTACAGAGAATCATTGTCTGAAAACAAAGCTTTTTTTTTTTTTTTCTAAGTAACAGTCACAGCTTGCATTTGAGAGGTGTTATAAGGGTAGATCTATCACACTTGTTTTTGTTTTCAAAGTTGGCGTCATTTTAAAACTAATGTCTTCTCCAGTCCATGTTCCATAATAACTTGTGAGGATTGCTGCTTTATCAAAAGATAGCTGCAATTTAGAAGCACAGACAATCCTTGAAAGTGGGTAATATTATTGAGGATAAATTTCACATAATATTGTTATTCTGATTTTTGTTTTCTGAAATCACATGGGTTAATGATTTGTAGCCAGAGTTAAAATAGAATGCAAACATGTTCCAGAAAGTGATAACAAGTGTAAACCATGCATAGGTGCTATTGCTATTGCATTAGATAAGAATGCAAGAGCTGAAAACAATCTGTTACAGAAGCAAAGATTCCAATGGAACTTTCTCAGTAAGGTATTCCTCATTCTAGGAGCCTGCCTTCCTTCCTTCCTTCCTTCCTTTCTTTCTTTTAGATTTATTTATTTTTATTTGAAAGGCAGATTTACAGAGAAATCTGCCATTTATTGGTTAGCTCCCCAAATGGCCACAATGGGGAGTTAGGCAGTTCTGAACCCAGGAGCCCAGGAGTCTCTTCTGCATGGGCTCAGGAGCCCAAGGACTTGAGACATTCTTTTCTGCCTTTCTAGGTCATAAACAAGGAGTTTCATGGAAAGTGGAGCAACCAGGACGTAAACTGGTGCTCAGGTGGGATGCTAGCACTAGCAGGTAGAGGATCAACCAGTTCAACTAGAGTGTTGGTCCTGCATTCCTCATAATATGTGAAAGTTCACTCCTTTGAGTGCTAGTTTGTTGTTTCCTTATTGTATTAGTCCCCCCACCCTTTTTTTTTTCGGTAGCATCTGTCACCTTTTAACATATTAAATGATTTTCTTGGTTGTTAAATTTTATGTTCTTTTTCTTCTGTCCACATTAACGTAAGTTCTTTCAAAAAGATTGTTGTGCTGGCTAGAATGCTGCATGGCATATGTTAAAAAGATGTCAACAATTTTGTCAGGTGTATGTTAATGTAAGATTGGAAGTCTCTAAATTTTAGATCTGGTATATATGCATATATATATATCTCCACATTATCTGTATATATATGCACATCTATAGATGTGTATATATATGTATGTGTGTGTATGTATTCTATGAGAGATCTTTAGAATCAGTAGGGAGAAAAAACAAAGTTTTGGGAATCATCTGGGTTGGAAGTTTTAAACTGGAGTTCATGATGACTTGCCCTGAGAAAGCACAGGATCATTATAAGGAAATCTGTCTCCACATCATCGGTCACTCGGTGTCTTCTCTCACAGAACTGAAGATTACCCTGCTGTGAGGTCCTGTGAGCACTTTGTAACTACGCCTCTGTCCACAGTTGTTTTTGTCTTTGTTTAATAACTTCTTCTTGGTTCATAAATGAAAGGTACCTTATTTTTTAAAATGAAAGACATCTTTTTAACTATTCAGAACATTCTGAATTATGAAAATCTCTTTATAGCATGCTCCTATATAATTTCCTTTCTAAAATATGCACGTAATTTCATTCACTTTAATGGCAAAGAAATAGAGATGCAGAGAGAGAGAGAGAGACAGGCCAAACAGGGCATGAAGTCTACTTGCTGCCAACATCCAACATTGGCTCCGGCTAATGTAGGAACTGGGAACGGCTTGCAGTTCTCCCACGTGTGTCGTAGGGGCTCAAGATGAATCATCATCTCTGCCTCCCAGGAAGCATTGGCAGGAAGTTGGGTTGTTAGCGGAGTAATCAGGGTTCAAACTAGTACTTCTGTATGAGATGCAGGTATCCCAAGCAGTGACATGCTGTACCATAACATCTTCCACTTGAAGAATTTTTTTATCACATAGAATTTGCTTTAGGATATTAATCTTTTTTTGTGTTATTATTTGATGTATATGCCTGCATACTTTAAACTTATTTAAGCAAACTTAACAGTGACTAATAAAAGATCTTCAGGAATATCCACACTTTATGAATTGGAGTCTGAAATGGAATTTACTGAGTAAATGGCAATTGAGGACTTTTTCTTATGGATTATAAATATGGCAGAGAGAGATGGGAAGAAGACTATGCAGAGGGAGATGTCACATTGCAAGGCCAGGTCTCGGACAACCTTGAATGACCCTATGCAGAGTTCTAGAATAGTTCTTCAGAACTGACCAGGTTGGCCCAAGTCTTTTTACTCTTGAATCGATCAGTCAAGGTGTGTATAGAATTCTGTGAAGTGGTGTGACCAGTGGCAAGATGGTGGCTGTAGTGGAGACAGGCTCTGAAGGGGTTGGTCCCTGAAGGCTGTCTGCAGCAAGCCTTTCCTGCAGCTGGAGCAAATGTCCTCCCTGGCAGGAGCATCTGGAGAGCTCATCCCAATGTCCAGAAAAAAACGTATTTGTTCTAGAGCAAAATGGCAGCAGGAAAGGGGCATAAAATAAAAGCTAAAGGAGAAAAAGTTCTGACTATAGAAAGAGTTAATTCATATGTTGATTGAGTGCATGATGTTTAATGCGCTATAATATTTGATTCCTTGGATTTATATTCTTGGTTATGTAAACTAAAACTTTAATATGTTTTTGCAGATATTTAAAGGTATCATAAAAACTCAGCAGTCAGGCGTGGTGTGATAGCCTAGTAGCTAAATGCTCTCCTTGTATGCCGGAGAGCTCTTATCAGTGCCAGTTGGTGTCCTAGGATGCTCCCTGTCCCTTCCAGCTCCCTGCTTGTGATCTGGGAAAGCAGTAGAGGATTGTCCAAAGCCTTGGGACCCTGTACCTGCACGAGAGATCTGGAGGAAGCTCTTGGCTCTTAGTCGGATCAGCTCAGCTCCAGCTGTTTGGGCCATTTGGCGAGTGAACCAGCAGATAGAAGATCTTCATCTCTCCTCCTTTCTGTATAGCTACCTTTCCAATGAAAAAGATAAACTATTTTTAAAAATTAGCAGTCAACATAAAATTTATGAATTGGTGCATTTTAAAATATTTAAGAACCAAGTATACAAAAATATTGGACTATTACCAACTTAATCTATCAAAAGGGCATTTAGTAAATGAATATGTTGGGACTCAGTAGGCTTTAAAACTTGTACCTCATCGTGTTAATCATTGTGAGGAGATTCATGAAGCAGGTGATTTTCCCTGGCCTGGTGAATGTGAAGACTCAGTTAACTACTATCATTGAAGGCACTCCCTAAGTAAGCAAAGCTTTTTTTTTTTAAGATTTATTTATTTTCATTACAAAGGTAGATATACAGAGAGGAGGAGAGACAGAGAGGAAGATCTTTCGACCAATGATTCACTCCCCAAGTGAGTGCAATGGCTGATGCTATGCCGATCCGAAGCCAGGAGCCAGGAACCTCTTTCAGGTCTCCCACGTGGGTGCAGGGTCCCAAAGCCTTGGGCCATCCTCGGCTGCTTTCCCAGGCCACAAGCAGGGAGCTGGATGAAGTGGAGCTGCCAGGATTAGAACTGTTGCCCATATGGGATCTCGACGCATTTAAGGCGAGGACTTTACCTGCTAGGCCACGCCGCCGGGCCCAAGCAAAGATCTTAATGCAAGGAACATGGACTCCTTCAGCATGCATACGGCAATATCTACATATGTGTGTCATTTACTGGGGCAGTGAGTCTTGCTCTTCAGTCATTAGGTGGGAACCAGATTAAAAAAAAATACTCGATTTTTGTAGCTTTTGTATTTCTAACTACTTTTGCAAGTTTAATTCATTTCTTCCTTGAATCTCATATTCTTATCTCTTCCCTCAAATAGTCCTCTTGCAGAAAAAAAAGATTTTGTATTATATCTGGCTTATACCAAGTCTTTCCTGATTTCAACAGGGTGAACTAGTGTATGTGAACTATGCAAGGACTGAAGACTTCTTTAAACTGGAGCGGGACATGAAAATCAATTGCTCTGGGAAGATTGTGATTGCCAGATATGGGAAGGTTTTCAGGGGAAATAAGGTCAGAACAGACTTTCTTTTATTGTCAAAATAAGAAGTTGTAATGTGTCTTGCAGGAGTAGAAACATCCCCTTAAAATATTGTGAGTTCCACAGTCTTCTATTCCACATCACGGCCACCTTACACACAGGACACTGTGGCTGGTTTGTAGACAAAGGTTTGACATTGCATCATGGACTTCAGCCAGTGTAGAAGATGTGCCTGCTAGTTATCTCTACGGCCTTTAATAAAGCATACATTGAGCTTGTTGATAACTTTCAGTATCCTTGTTTTACTTATTACCTCCAAAATATTTACCAAATTAAACTTTAATGTGTTTTGTTAATAATCAGAATAGAGAAGCATTTGAAAATGGTAGTTTTAGAAATAGTGTCACTTGATTTGTTAATATGCAGTTCTCTCTTTTGTGAGACAGTAAACTCCAAAAATACGCCCTGTTAGTTGTGACACAAGCAAGAGTGTGACATGTAGGCTCTGTTTATTGTGCTTCTCTGCTAGCAGGAGAAACAGCAAGTTCGAAATGTGCAGCTCTGACAGCTGACCCACTTTTAGAACTTACAGTAGCAAAAAGCAAACTTGTGCTCTGTGAGATATCCTTTCTTGTACATGGAATGATGAAGTGTGGAAGATACAGCTCAACTATTTATGGCACATTGATGAAACCAAGTGTAGAGAAAACTAAGTGAAACTGTGTTTTCCAGGTGAAAAATGCCCAGCAGGCAGGGGCCATAGGGGTCATTCTGTACTCAGACCCTGCTGACTATTTTGCTCCTGGGGTGGAGGCCTATCCGGATGGCTGGAATCTCCCGGGAGGTGGTGTACAACGTGGAAATGTCTTAAACCTGAATGGTGCAGGGGACCCTCTGACACCAGGTTATCCAGCAAATGGTGAGTGCAGTTATTATAGGAAATTTAACATTGTTAAGTGCTTTAACTGATGACTGTATTTTAACAAAATGGACTAAGTATATTCTTTGCTTTTTTTCATTTGCATCCAAGAATAAAAGTGCTTTGAACTCTGAAAATGACGGATTCATGTTCCATGGTCCTTGTTTGAAACCCTTGGACCTGATGGGTTTTGTAATTCAAGTTTTCTCATATATTTAAAAAAAGTAATGTCATTATACTTTTAAAGTTGTATCCATAAACTAGGTTGAACATTTTAAAAACTAAAAAAGTTTTAAAAAGTCAAAATAAAAATAATTTAAAATAATAAAATGTATATTTGTAAAATAATAATAGAATGTAAGATGATATACACATGCTTGTCACCTATTGTGTAATAAAGAGGGCTAGGACAGAATGCAGAACAAAGCATATAAATATGTTTACAGCAAAATGTGCTCTTACTAAATAACAAAGTCATACGAAGACTCAAGTCAGATTTTTCTGTACAATGAGTTCAGGTCACATCAAATTTTGTTACCAGGTATGTTACTGCTAACATGTTACTCACTTTCACCGAGTCTTAGATTTTTGAGTTGTGATAAAGGAAGGAAGAACAGAAGTTCCATAAATTTGTGACATGGCAGGTTTGGAATTCCACATCCAGGATAGATGCATTGCTTCATTGCTCTATAAAGAATCCAGTGATAACCGTCAAGTTGGTTTTCTATGCTCCAGCACTTTATGTGCATTAACAATGCTATAAATTAGGTGCTATTATTATCTCTGTTTCACACAAGGGGAAAGTGAGCCTAGAAGTATTTAGTCAAAGATCACCACCTGCAAATTCAGGAGCAGGTGCAGATTCAGACATTGTGGATGTCAGAGCCCACACAATGATTTTTTCTTTTGCATGCTCACCTGTTATTATGTAATGATAAAGCAAAATTAACTGAATAAACTCAACAACCCATGATGTTTACAGAAGTCTCTAATTGTTTAGTTTGCATTGTTTTTGAAAGCTAACTAAAGTAGTAAAACTTGAATAAAATAGCTGTCTTAAATACTTTCTATTCATCTGTTTATGTATTTTAATTTTTGTGTATAGTTGCAATATAGAATATTTTTTTGATATTTTAATAAAAACATTTGAAAGAGTTAGAGAAGGAGATACACATAAATGGAGAGACAGAGTGAGAGCAAATAAGCAAGAGGAAAGCAAAAGAAAAAGAATGAAAAAAGAGAAAGAAATGGATAGAAGATGATAGAAAAAAAAGAAAGAAGGATGGAGGGAAGGAGAAGAGAAGACATGATAAATCTTCCATCAGCTTGGTCACTCCTCAGTAGCCTGGGATGGATCAGAGAGACACCAGGAGCCCAGACCTTCTTTCAGGTTCTCCCATTCGTGCCCAAGGGCTCTGGTCTCTTCCACTGCTTTCGCAGGAGTATTACCAGGGAGCTGAATAGGAAGTAGAGTAGCTGGGACTTAAACCAGTCATATGGGATGCTGGCACAGCATTATCCACTATGTGATAGTACCAGTTCCTCTTATTTATTTTCAGCAATACTCATTATCCTATAACAAAATCGTTTAAATCTATGTGAAATTTGCTTCATTTCCTCCAAAGTCTTGAATAAAAATGCAACTTTTTTCAAGCTTTGTAAGTTGTAGAATGCTAAAACAGGGCATATAAAGACAGATTAATGAATGTTTCCATGCAGATTTTCAAATTGAAAAAGAACTTGTAAAGAAAGCTGGTGGCATGCTTGGGAGGCTAATATTTATGGCGTTACTTTTTTTGTGTTCTTCTCATTTTTCTCTTCAATTAATTGTATGTGTTATTTTAGAAGATTTCTAGCATAATCAGGACTAATTATCCAAAGTTTAATGATTTGGAGAATTTGAAAGTAAATCTCACATGATGTATCATTAAAGCATTCTAACGATAAAAGAATACACTTTTACAGTAGACAGTTTCTTTTTTTTTTTGTTAAGAGTTATTTTATTTTTATTGTAAAGTCTGATATACAGAGAGGAGAAACAGAGAGGAAGATCTTCTGTCTGTTGATTCACTCCCCAAGCAGCCACAATGGCTGGAACTGAGCTGATCTGAAGCCAGGAGCCCAGAACCTCTTCCAGGTCTCCCTCATGGGCAAAAGTCTCAAGGCATTGAGCAGTCCTTGACTGCTTTCCCAGGCCACAAGCTGGAAGCTGCATGGGAAGTGGGGCCACCAGGATTAGAAACAGTGCCTGTATGGGATCCCAGCATGTGTAAGACAAGGACTTTAGCCACTAGGCTACTGCGCCGGACCTTCAGTTTCTTTATTAATAATTTAAAAGCTGGGAGAGAAAAATGAGAAATTCTGTATTTTTTTCCTTGAAGAAATAGTAGAATCTATAGTCTTATTATAAAATAGAGCTTACATACAATAAGATGCAGAGGACTTACACATAGTTCCACGAAGTTTGAAAGTTGTCTACATTTGTCACCCATAAGACAGAAGTTTTTTGTTTGTCAGTTTTCCAATAAAGTGACAAATATGTGGAATCTTATTGTATTACTATGTCACAATTTTTGTCCTATAAGCTTAAGAACTATCCCGAAATAACATGTTAACAAATATCCTCAGAAGCAACTGCTTTCTAATAGATAGCACCATGGATCAGTATGCCTGGTGCTACAGGCGGTAGGATGAGCTTTCCCTCGGTTTAGTGCTTTTTGATACTCATTTTATTATGTGTATCAGCAGTTTGTTCCTTTTCGTTGTTGAATATCATCCTATCATATGGCTGTAGTATAGACTATCTTTGTATACTCCAGTTTCCTGAAGTCTGATGGTTACTATAAATGTGACAAGCGAAAACAATTTTATACAGATCCTCTTTCTTGAGTAAATATCTAGGATTAGAATTGCTGTTGTAAGAACACATTTCTGTTAATTCCAAAAAGTCATTCCAAGTCATTGTGTAATTTTAGACTCAAAAGCAATGGATAAGAGTTTCAGTTATTTCATATTCTTGATAACATTTGGAATTATCACTTGTTTTAGTTTAATGATTGTAATATATGAGAAATATGCATTTAATGTGAGTTACAGATAATTGTGTGGAGAAGGATTTAGTTTATATTGGAAGTGTATTCATCTTTTTTCTTTCAGAATATGCTTATAGGCGTGCAATGACAGAGGCTGTTGGGATACCAAGTATTCCTGTTCATCCGATTGGATACAATGATGCCCAGAAACTCCTTGAGTAAGTGTGTAAAAAACCAGGTGAAAACTGTTGGAATATTTCTCATTACTAGCACTTGTCAAATGTTAACATTTTTGTCTTCAATATTTGATGCTACTATTCTCTGAAGTGGATGAAAGTTAAAATTTTTATTGTTATTTTAGAAAAGTGCTTGTATTGTGGAATTGATGTGTGGATATACGGTATGTCACAGATGTGAAAATGAGTCTTGTAGATCTCCAGCTGCAGAGGCTAATTGTTCAGCTGCCCCAATCACTGCGCTTTGAGAGCTGTCACCCTGTTTGTGTCCAGGCCACACTTCACGCAAATGCTCCAGGGTGTCTCAGAATGACTGGCCTGTTCCCAGCAGGCCCAGGAGAACACTGATATCAGACTGCATGCAGCTCTGCGACTGATGACCCTGCCATGGGAGATTCTGAACCCACAATGCTGACAGCCTTCTAAGCCCTTGTTAGCTCCCTGTGTATGTCTTTGACAGATTTTTTCCCTCTGATGCATCTCCTACTCACAATTTTTTCTCATGATTCATTTCTTGGAGGACCCAGAAAAGCACACTGTGAGAGCATCTTCCTTTTTGTTGTTGTTTAGCTCACGCTTCATTATTACAGCTTCCCCCTGTTCGTTACTTTTTTACCTGGCATTGGAACATTTTCTCCATTACGACCCTGCTTTCTTCCATCTGCTTCTCTTTTCTTTTCTCTTCCTTACAAAGGGTGAGGACATTGGCTTTGCTGGAAATGAAAAGAGACAAAGGTAGTTGAACATTTAGTGCCTTTTATTCTTTGGGATCAAAACATTCTTATTTTATTCTGGTATTTATGTGAAAGGCATTTTATGACTTAGTGCAGAGCCTCTGTTTTTATAGGTGAGGAGCCTGACATCCAGAGAATTGGAGAAATCTTCCATTTCAGGGAAGGTTAAAGAAACACCCTGGTCTTTTTTTTATTGGGGTGGGGGAGGCTCTTATTTTTACCACAATGGTAAAGTTTTATGATCAGGCACAACTTTTGAGAGTGCCATGGTCTATCTTTTGCCTAAACATATTTATAAATAAAGTCTAAGTACTTACAAATGTTTAAGAGACAAAAGTGATTTTAGCATTACTCATAATGGTGGAAAGCTATGAGCAGTACCAATCTTCAATAATGGATAATCAAATACATTACTGACTCTGAAAATATTTGAAACCATGTAAGTATTCAGTGTGTAGGAATATTTAGTGATATGGAAACATGTTTGTGATGTAATATTAAGTAAGAAAGAATCAGATTTTAATATTGTATCTATAGTATTGTCCCAGTAATATAGAGATTTAAAAAGTGAATTTGTATTATCTTTCTAGTTTAAAAAAATGTACAAAATTATATGGAATTAGAAGTAAAAAAATTTTTGAGTGAGTCCACCACTTGCTGTGGTATTAGCTGAGTCAACATCAGTTGTGACTGAAATACGTAGTAGAATTTTATAGCTAAAAAAAAAAATATAAAATGCAGGTTATCTCATGCTTTTTTCTTAAGTTATCTTCTATAATTATTTATAAATGCAATCACTATTGATACCATAATTTCTATGAAAATGTGAATTTTGCATTCAAAACTACATAGTTACAAATAATCACTTTCTATTTTACCACCTGCCCATTCCAAAGCATGGTGAAATATTGTGCATAAGTGGGATTTCGTTTTGATAATGTTTCCTAAAGAACATGTCCTTTAGTTAGGGATTTCACTGAGAAGAGTTCCTCCCTCTGCACATCTATCTCTGGAGCATAATAACTGTCCCAGATAATTAACTCAGTGAATTCTCATAAATAATTAGCAATTATTTAATATAAAGAAATTTAAAAAGATAGTGTTTTGCAAATGAAATGTATGATGAAATGAAACTTTGTTGGTAAGTGCATGTGAAAAAGATAAGATATCCTATGATGTGTGGCACAGGAACATTGGCAACTTAAGTAAAAAGTTGATGGGACATGAGTTTTACTGAAATAAAATTGCATACTGACTTGAGTGAAAGAAAATTAGAAGATCATGTGTGTTTTCTACTGTTCTTTTACCTCTATGTCAATGTCAAGGAAGGATGTGTGGTTTTAATTTGTCTCTTAGAGTAACTCCTAGGATAGCAATGATAGCAAGAGTGGTACTACGAATAGTTCCTATCGCACATGGGTTACTCATGATGTTCTAGCACTAGCTATTGTGCTTAGTGATTTATACTCATGTCCTCGACTAATTCATAAGTCAACTATATCTTAGTGTGTTGGTACTCATTTTCCAAAAGAGGAAACAAAAGTTTATGGGGTAAGTGGTAGAGGGAAGACCTAAACTCATGTCTGCTGTACCAAGTAGCTATGTTAAATGCTATTTATTTTTCTGCTCCACAGCACAAGCATTTGTAGGACGTCTCTACTGATCCGTGCTTCATTCTTATAACACTGCTCAGGAGACCATTAAATACTTTCCTCAGCCCAGTCATTCATTAATTCAGGAAATATTTGTGGACTGATTTATATTTTTCAGGCACTGTGAAAGTGTGAATTGCACAGAAACTTCATTCTTATCAATAAATTCTCAGTAATTCAGTCTGAGGTGTATATTTGCTAGTCATATAACTTTGGGTCTGTTACCTAATCAGTCTTAGCTTTGTGCTTCTTGTTTGTGAAGTAATAACACATCATGAGAGCTGTAGAGAAGTTTGAATGACAATAGATATACATGACGCAGTGCACTCTCCTTGACACATTTTAGTACTTATGAAGTGATGCCCAGTGTAGTGAGTTGGTAGGCATTTTAACTTGTTACTTTAATGTTTTCCTTCAGCTGATGACATTTTCTTTATATCAAACAGAAATATGGGGGGCCTGCCACCACCGGAGAGCAGCTGGAAAGGAGGTTTGAATGTGCCCTATAATGTTGGACCTGGCTTTGCTGGAAATTTTTCTACACAGTTAAGCTATTTTATTTTTTTCCTACTTTGGGGAAATTTTTAAAAAATAAACAATTATAGAGGATGATGGAAAAAAATTTTATTTAGTATCATCAGAACAGAAAATCCCATGATTGGGCAAGGTGATGTTTGCATGTAAAATCAGAAATCTATAAATAATAATGTAATGCTTAAAAATCGTGGCAATAATCTAGCAACAATTTGTTTAGAATGTATCCTTTGTCTTTGCATTAGAAAGATCAAGATGCAAATCCATTCTGTCAGCAAGGTGACAGGAATTTACAATGTGATCGGTACTCTCAGAGGAGCAGTGGAACCAGGTAAAGAAATCATTTGCTTGGCAAATGCTAACTGCACAATTTGTATGTGCCTTTTCTTGTTCCTGCTGTGAGCTGTGGAAATGTAAGGGGAGTAAAGAAAAGCAACTATTTGCCTTAGTGAAATACACTTGGAATTTTATTCATGGTGTGTGTGAGGAATAGTAAATACACTTGGAATTTTATTCATGATGTATGTGAGGAATAGTAAGCATTTGGGCTGGAATTGGGCATATGATTAAGGTGAGTGATACACAACATGATTCCATTAAAGGAACATTAAAAGAGGGAGGACAAGAAATGATAGCCTTGAGATGTTTTCTCTTAGTTGCATGGATTTATTTATTGTATATTATGCATGAGAAGAAATACTCACAATTAGCATAAATATCTCTAAAAAATTAATATAATCTTAATCCATCATATACTTTTATTTTCCATCACTAAAGTCATTGATAACATTTATAAGCATAGAATTTCCAAAGTATTTCAGATAACCTGGTGCTTAATCCATTTTATTATATAATTTTGTTTCATTATATTTCAGTTATTTCAAAAGCACTAGGTTATGTATTTCTTACGATAATAGCTACCATTAGATGGCCATAGCTTCTTAATCGAGCTTAGTTCCTACCCTTTGGTATCAAGAATCTTGGGAATAAGCACCAAATAGCAGATAACTGGATGTTGATTATTGAATCTGAATATCTACCTTATATAGAATCTGTGATAAGCATCGATGATGCAAATATGTGGGAAAATAAAAATAAATAAAATGCAACAATAGCAGATTAGAGACAAGGAGCTCATGGTTTTGGAGGGAGGCATATGTTTAAGTGTGATACTCACTTCATTAGATTAAAGAGATTATATTGTGCACTGGATAGTTAGAGAAAAGGTCCACTGAGATAGGAAGTCTTTGAGTTGTACATTCAACATAAAGTGAGAGTAGAAAATGGAAAACCTGCTATATATTTATTCTGCTACTTTACCCTGAAAATGTTGGAAAGAGTGGCATGATGGAAGAAGTGTTTTGAAGAATGTTACTATATGGAAAAGGTAATTTTTGTACACCTATCATTGCAGTAATTGTTGAAGCTTATTTGCTTTACAGCCTTTACCTTGCCTCCCACTTGAGGAAATACATAGAAAAATCAGAAATGACATATCTGCACAAGTCTCCAGCAACCTTGTGATGTCTTTTGAATACTGTGTGTTCAGATGGTATTGAGTGGTGTGCAACTTGCTCTATTATTCACCTCAAGTGACAGATAATCTCCCGATGATGCTTTCTAGACAGATACGTCATTCTTGGAGGTCATCGAGACTCGTGGGTGTTTGGGGGCATTGATCCTCAGAGTGGGGCTGCTGTTGTCCATGAAATTGTGAGGAGCTTTGCAACCCTGAAAAAGAAAGGTAAAATAAAGGAACAGTAAAAAGACCGATTGCTTTGGGCCTCAATGAATTCTGTAGAAATGGCAGTTGCATACTTATTTTATTTTGGGGCTGTTTATATAACACTTCTGGGAATTTATATGCTGCTTCAGAATATATCTGAAATAAAGTCATTTCGTGCTATTGTTTTCCCTTGAAAACTAAGCAAAAAATGTGTTTTGCCCTGGAAAAGATGTGCTAGAGTTTGGCCCTTAGTCAAAGCTTTTAGGTGAGAACTATAAGCAGAATTATCTGAAATGTTTTGGAACTTACACCTCATATTACATTTACAGGGTAGCAAAGGGCATAAGATCTAGTCAGAAAAATAGTAGTCTGTGATTAGCTTTCAGGTGCTGTGAGTAAAGCTGCCACTTCTGATGCCAGAACCTCATATGGGCTCCTGTCCCAGAGGCTCTACTTTTGATCCAACTCCCTTCTGTTGCCCTGAGATAAATAGAGGGAAATGCTTAAATGCCTGGTCCCCTGCCACCCATGTGGGAGATCCAGATGAATTGCCTGGCTCCTGACTTCAGCATGGCTCAGTCCGTGTCATTCCACTATCTGGGAAGTATACCAGCAAATAGACTTCTTTCACTCTTCCTGTCTCTCTCCATGTGCCTCTAAGTCAGTTTTACAAATTAATAAATATTGAAAGAAGGAAAGAAAGACAATAAAAGAAAGGAGGAAAGAGAAAGGAAGGAAGGAAGGAATGAACAAACGAACGAACTAGTCTCTCTACCTCACAGAATTTGGTTGGAAATATGGCATCTGCATTCTTATTCTCAACAGTGATTAGGATTCCAGAAATTAGGTCAATTCAGGTCACCTTAATCTTTTAAATAGAATCTTCTAATGAAAATTAGAATAGTTACTAAAATAATGACATCTTACATGAAGTTAATTAGTATCTTCATTTTTGTCATTTTGGTACACAGATAAGGAAATAGAGATTAAGGCTATTCTTTTGGCCACTGCCAGTGAGAGAAGAAGGATTTGAAATGAGATCTTTCTGTAGATCCAAGGTCAATGTTTATACCCTTCAAGTCACGTGACCTTCCTGGAAATTATGTAATTTTCAGCAGCAGCAGCATGAATTGCTGTTACTAATTGAGTCCCTGTTGGCTAATTCCAGCAGAGAACGAAACAAGATCATACAACCAGCTCACGTCAAATCATTGGTCATGTGATGTCAGAAGAACAAGGAAGAGCTCTCAAGGAATCTATGTCTGCTCTCAGATACTAACAGAATACAGCAGTGTCTTTATTCACAATAGTCAGATTCAGATCATCAGTGATTTTTGTGTTTATGCCAAACTCATGAGCTTTAATTTTATCAGCTTTAAAATTCTACAAAAAGAAATTAATTTAAGGGCTCTTATCACAGTTCCGTTTTTCCAAAACATCAGTGGAGCTTTTCTTTCATTTGGGCTTGGTGATGTCCTAGATATGTTATGCTTTCCCCCTGCATTTATATGTATGTACACATATATTTTAGGGTGGAGGCCTCGACGAACGGTTTTGTTTGCAAGTTGGGATGCAGAAGAATTTGGTCTTCTTGGTTCTACTGAGTGGGCAGAGGTTAGTTGATAATTTGGTAGAAGGCAAGTTTTTCGAATAAGAAAGCAGTTAGAACTTCATCCTCAAGTATTTTAAAATCAGTGAATCCAAGAAATCTGAAGCAACATATTCTTGTTCAACGATCATCAATGCATGTTTTAAATCCTAAAAATTGTTGTGCTTGAAATTTTTAATAACCACTTACTGTGACTTATCAAAATAAATTTATCTTTGTTTTCTAGGAATGGGACAGTAGAAATGTAAATATGATAAACACCAAATATCAATGTATATTTAATTTTTGTTATAGTTGTGTTATGTTCCCCAGATTGCTGCTAAAGCAAAGCACACTTGAATACCCACTTTGAGTTTGTAAAATGTACATTTTTCATCTTCATTTTCTTCATGTGATAGTGATCTATTCTATGTAAAGTCATGCTTAAAGTAAGACAGAAAGTCACACCACAGCATATTCATTACGGCCAATAACGTATTATTTAATCTGCATCTGTTTTTGGCTGTGTGCATTATAAGCATAGCTGTTAAGTAAATATCTATATGAACCTAATGTTTATTCTCTTAGCTTATTTGCCTTTGTAAATATTTACTTATCTCCTATTGCATCCTAGATACCATATGGAGCACCATAATTTTTTGTTGTTGTCGTTAGATTGCTCTTCTAGACCTGGCTGATGTTAGGAAGAACATAAAGCTTTCCAGTTTTTAACTTATAGCTTTAAGATTGTTTTACAGTGATAGTGCCTAGGGAATTGCATTAGAGTCACCATCTGTTTTGACACTGCAGAGAACATTGCTCTGCTTCTTGACCATGTTCTAAATGTGATGTTATCAGTTGTCACCAACAGGTGGTGCCAGCCTAAAGGAGAACTTGACTTGATTTTTCATACATTTTATGTTTATAAATTGGAACTAGCTAATTTTTTTAAAGTTAGGTATTTTATCTGTTTTGCTAATGAGGTGTTTGTGGAAATGCTGAATGGAATATCTCTTAGGTCATTCATTTGCACTAAGACAATGATTTGAAAGATAGAATGTGGTTAAGAAATTAACTCCTATTCCACATACCATACATATATGGACAGTTTCCACCTTAAGTGTTAGCCTTTCATATGTTTCGCTTGTTTCTGAAATTCTTTCAAGCTAATTTCTCATTTTATTCTTCAGAGCCAAATTTCTGGTTAACATGGATCAGCATACATCAGAAATCAGTGTACAGGAGAGGCTGATGTACAGTTTGGAAGGAGGAAGTAGGTTACAATTTTATTTATACTTTTTGTTGTGTTTAAAGGAGAATTCCAGACTTCTTCAAGAACGTGGTGTGGCTTATATTAATGCTGATTCTTCCATAGAAGGTGAGTATCTTTGGTTTCAAAAGAAGAGATATGATTGTGTGGAGAGCAGCAACTGAGTTAAAAAATGATATACTACGAAGGAACAAGATCCATTATCATGCAGCTGGGCACCGCTGCCTTCTGCTGCTCTTTCTGACTCACAGCCATGGGCAAGTTCTAAGTTGAAAGTCTTTGTGTATGTGTGTGTGTGTGTGTGTGTTTTGCATTGTAGAATAGCTAGTTTAGAAAGCAAGTATTCTACATTTGTTTCCCTAGCAGATTCATTTCTAGATAGCAGGAATTTAGCAAACACCTGTTGAGCGAATAATTTATTGTTTAGAATGAGATATAAAAGTGTTATTTAAATTTAACTCTTAGTGTCAGTGTACTATCATACACACAAATTTTGAAAAAAAAATCCCAAATTTTGTCTTTCAGTAAATTTTTTAATGTATTTTTTTCTTCTGTTCAATAAATATTTAGTGATTACTTATCTGAGAAAGTTAGTAAGAAATTGTCTTCTATTCTATGGCTCAATATAGATGATAAAATCATCCCATTTGGAATATTATACTAGAACGCTGTAATGCTAGAATATGAATATAATCAAACTGCTATGGCAATTTTCAGGAGAAATAACAGTAACTTCAAGAAAATTTTAAGAAATGAGATTGGCATTTGAGATAGTCCTTGACAAACGCACTTGTTCTTAAAATATATAAAGGATGAAATGAAAAGCATCCAAGGTTGAATTATACAAAAATACGTAGTTCTTCGTCATTTCTTTCAGTCTCACTATTTCTTGGGAAATCCCAGTCACTTCACCACTGTTCCTCCTCCTCAGATTGCACTTCGATTCTCCCCCACCTGTGTGATTCTCACACTTACAATCTCCACTGAAGTGGTACTTTCTCAGGGAAGTCAAACCTTCGCAGAATTCCTATTATTATCAAATACTTTTGGTTTTAAAACTTCCTTCCCCAATGGACTATGTCCTTTAGCAAAAACAAACAAAAACCGAAAAAACAAACAACAAAAATGAATACCCCTCCCCCTGCTTGTTGATTCCCACTATTTCACTACGTAAGTATTTGCTGCATGGATGTAATAAGGAAGGAAGAAGAGAATGAAATGTGAACTTTTAGAATGTCTTCTTCAACATGTTAGTTTACCGGGTTGGCGATCGTCACATGATCCAGAGGAGTCCCATTGACATTGCCATTTTTATCTTCCTCCCCCCCCAATAATATAGTCTGAACTATATTATTGTGCACTGCAGTTTGCACAGTTCATTTTAGTTCTCTTTTCTTGCTTCTTTAAGGTTGGTGGCTGAGAACCTGGCTTTTCAGGTCAGGCTGCTTGGAGTTATTCTTGGTTTTTCTGCTTCCTGCTGGTGCTGTGAAAGTTACTAGTTTCTGTGTCTCAGTATTGCAAATAGAATTACTAAGAGCACCTGTCTCCAAGGTTCTTGTCAAGGCAAAACGAGTTAGCATTTGCAAACTTCCCAGACCTGTGCCTTGCAGAGTAAACATTCACAAATGTTATCTTTGATTACTATTATTACTTTTCTTTGAAACACATGATTAGGTAAAATGTGTTTATCACAATGAAAATTTCAAGCATACGTTCTCGAAATGTGGAATAATGTTCACTTTAGTGGTAAGTTTTTTTTTTTTTAAGGATGTGATTTTTCAAGTATTTTGAAAAACCTAATTGGTCTTTTTGGACTATCACTTTTTAATTTGGAAGGCATGTGATTGGGGCACACATTGTGTTTTTTTACCCCATTTCGTTTATTATTCATTTCACAAATAATAAAATTAATCATGCTTTGGAATTTTTGATAAGATGAACATTTACAAGTAGTGCAGACTTCTTACACAACTTGCTCTCAAATTTAATCCCCTCTCCAAAGCCACTGCTGTCTTCAATTTGGGACGATAACATCATGTTGACATACCTTTGTACAATTCTGTTCGCACAAAGCACACCCATGTGACAATATTAAGTGCCTTACAATGGATATGTTTGTTTAATACTCACAGTAGCCTTATGATGTATGCGTCTATCTTATCTCTGTTCTGTGGAAGAAGAAACAGGTTCAGAGAGGTTAAGAGGCTTCCCTGAGATCACACCAGCATTGAAGAGTTGAGTTCAGACTCAAATCAAGTAAATCTGTCTCAATTTGATCCTTCTAATCTTACACTGTTGCCTCTTAGTATCTTATACAGGCTTTGGGTGTCATAGTACAGCTAAAATGATACTGCAACTTAGCTTTTTCATTCAGCAATATATGAAAATGAAAAATACACATTCTATGGCAATATGCTTTAAACTTAAATGAAAGACCAAACAAGAAGAACAGAAACTTCTACAATATAGTCAATAGAAAAAACTATGCATCAGTTCTCTTACTATGATCAAAGTGCTGCAGTTTGCTGTATTAAATATTGCTTCATTTGACTGCTTTTCTATATAGGGTGAAGGGATGTAGAGAGTTTCAAATATGATAGTTTGTTTTTGAGATACATACATTTAAATTAAAATAAAACCTGCCAAAACAACTGTCTCAAAAATTGCATTGGCTGATGGAGTGCATGGTTTGGCCTACTGGTGAAGGTGCCTTTTGGAGGGCCCACATCCCATATTGAAATGCCTGGGTTTGAGCCCTGACTGTGCTCAATTTTAATTTCATCCTTATGTCCCCATGAGACAAGAAGCAATGACAGATGTCATTGGTCCCTATAGGCACACAGAGGACCTGGACTGTGTTCTGGGTTCCTGGCTTCAGCCTGGCCCAGAGCTGACCCAGAGCTGACCATTGCAGGCACCTGTGTAGTAAACCAGCAGACAGGAGTTCTCTCTTTCTGTCTACTAAGTAAATAAGACCATCTGTACATTTTTTCCCAGGTGAAGTTTAGAGTTCTCAAATCAGCTCCTTATGTTCCAGAAATAATTGTGGTGACCAGTTGTAAAGCTTCAAATTTTGCTGTTTCCAGACATGGATCTTAAGATGCAGATTAAAACCTGCTTGTCATCTTTTTTTTTTTTTTTATCATGTTTGTCCCTTAGATGCCATTGTCATTTCTTTTTGGCCCAGCTGTCTCTCAGTTCTAGAAAACTGAAGTTGAGCCTCCCTCTTGTCTGTTTAACATTTCTTGCTTAGAACCCATTTTTGAATTAGCCACCCTTTCCTTTGTGCCTATGGCTTCCCCAGAACATGCCTCCCATATGGCTTCACTTTACTCACACCTGCCAGTCTAATTCCTGAGGAAAGAGGACTCTGTCTCTGCTGTCTGTTCAGAACCAGGTTGGTGGATAGCTGGTTTGCAGATCCATTTTCAGAAGAGTTTGTTGTATAAACGGGAAGCGCTAGGATTGTTCTAAGCGCTGGGGATATGGCAGCAAATTTCAGAATACCTGACTCTGGAAATTATGGTCTGGTGAGAGGGTCTTTTATAAGAAAATTTAATTACTAAGATGTTATAGGTGAGTATCGTGGATGAAAATAAGCCAAATTCAGGAACAAGTGGCTAGGAAAGAGAGTACATGCTATGTTAGTTACGGAGGCAGCAAAAGTCTGACATTGGGCCAGAGAAAGATTAGGAATTGCAAATATAATACTGAATATTATTCTAGGCTGTGTACAAAGACAACTGAAAAAGTGTTTTTGGGTGAAGTGGGACATGAAGACTTGTTGGAGGTGATGCGTGATTGCTTCCTGTGTGACACTGTATGCCCCATGCCATGATGAAGATGATGGATGGGTTTTACAGAGTGAGATGGGCAGCCAAAGGAGTGTTTACACTGAATTTAGATTTTAAAAAGATCATTCTGGCTAAGGAAGTTTGCAGTGGTCTTTGAATAAAATAAAAAGAGAAAGAAATGCTGTTAAACCAATCTATCCTCTCTTTATCTTTTAGGAAACTACACTCTGAGAGTTGATTGTACACCACTGATGTACAGTTTGGTATACAATCTTACGAAAGAGGTAAAAGGAATCACATTTAATTTAGAAAAATCAAAGTTCTAGAAATGATGCTTCTTTGAGGTTTCATTGTCATATGTTATGTTTATCTTTTACCACATGACAAATATTAATCCATAAAACATATGGAACTGTGCGGTTTTAACATACGACTTCAGTTCGCCCCTTATCCCTGTGTGGCAGCTTTGTTTAGCATTAATTTTTGCCGCTTTCCTTCTGAAAACATGGAAACTGAACTCCCTGAACATCAGGGCACTGAAGTCACAAACTTGAATAGTAACTGAAACAAGATTTGGTCTTTTCTATTGTTATTATTTTTCATGATACAGTTTTGTAAGTGTGGGGATTTGCCCCCCTTTTCCTCCCTTTTATCCCTTTTCCTTCTCCCCATCCAGTGCTGTTTCCCCCATGTTATTACAACAGTATTGCCTTTCAGCTACAGTCAGAAATCCAACCTTCTTCTGTTTAAGTGTATCATGACATTGTAGGTGTAGACAATGGTATCAAATTGTCAAGGTGTGGTTAGCAGTTTCATTGGGATTCCTTTTTTTATTTGGGGGTGGAGATACATACTATGTGTCTTCACTTCCCATGATGCGGGGACATGGTTTTGCAGCAGGATCCTTTAGTTTTTATTACTGGTTTATACTACAAAAATAATCATATGAATTAACTCAGGACACATAAGATGTTAGACTCTACGTGACTGAGACAGAGTATTATAGAAACACCAAATGCTAACTCAGATGGTCAAATGATCTTTGCACTAAGGATAGACGAGACTCTGTAAGGTGCTTCCTTTCTGCTAAGTTTTAGTCCGCTGGCTCCATTCAGCCAGGGTGATAGCTCAATTACTTCTTTTAGAAATGTTTGACTGACAAATAAAACTTGTACCAATTAATGGTACCATGCGATGTCTTGTAAATTAATATATTGTGTTATGCTCAAATCAGGATAAGCATACCTATTACCTCAAACATTCCTTATCACTTTATGTTGAAAATGTTCAAAATTCTCTTTTCAAGTCTTTCAATGTGTGTGGCTTTATATAATATTATTGTTATTTGTAGTCATTCTACTATACACAGAGCACCAAAGCTTCCTTCTCAGATCTAACTATAGCAGAGTACTCAAGGCTACCTAAATTCTGACAGCAGTAAAAAGCCATTGAACTTGGTTGAGTCATGGGGGTTGAACTCCTATAGCATGTCAAAAAGGAAAACGTACACTTAACTGTCTTGCTTTCATTTTCCTTAAGGGGAGGAGAAATCTATGGTTTTGAGAGAGGCTTCCTTCAATTTAAAAAATTAGGAAAAAAACCACTCAATATGCTCAATCACCTCAAGGTAGTGGTTTGGTAATCATCTGGTGTGACATTTTTTCTTATGTATTTCATGTATAATGCAATTATGCCTCTATATAATAGCATGGACATTTTCCCTATTGCCAGAAATTCACTGTCACATCTTGACAACTAACATATGGCAGACCGTTTCTGTTTTGCTGAGCTATGGTTTGCCCATTCACCCTGTGGTCCTCTGGTTTGTAAGTGTTCTCTGTTTCCTTTTGATGTTTGTAGCTGCAAAGCCCTGACGAAGGCTTTGAAGGAAAATCCCTTTATGAGAGCTGGTATGAGAAAAGTCCTTCATATGAATTCACTGATAGGCCCAGGTAAAGAAAGAAAACTTGAATGTTATTGCAATGTGGCATCAGTTTGAAAATAAAAGGATATTTTGTTTGATTCGTTAATTAACTTTCAAAATGTTCTGAAACACTCTAATATCTAGTAAAGAAAACTATTGCTTAGGTTCGTAAGTTAAAGATTACTTGTGTTTTAAAGTGAACTCTATAACCACTGAAAATGATTCTTAGTAGAATAAGTAATAAATATATCTGATACAAAAAAAATATTGTAAACATAATGGTGAAAAGTACCTCCCTCATATTTCTGTCTTTAGTTATTCTTTTATCTGAACATTGGTGAACAAATAGTTTCAGTTTTCTAAAAAAAAAAAAATGAAGCACTACTTCAGCATTGGCTATAGTTCCAAATGCTATGGAAGAAGAATGTGTATTTTTATCTTCTAAATGGATTTCAATAGTCAGAATATCTTAAAACTCAAACATTTACATCTGAATCACCTGAAAATGATTTCTTCTGTTCATTTTATCATTAGTAGCAAATGTAGGTGATAGATAAGATGATACAATTTAGAAAAATATTTTCAAACTTCAAGTCTTTCTTATATTGTGACATAAAATAGACACCCTAACACAAACTTGTCATAGCAATGATATTTTATGTTCAAAATTAATATTACTCTAAGTTTTGCTGCCAAGGTATATATGTTTAACATTATATTTATGATAGTAAAAACAGAGTTTTGTTTAATTGATTGTAAATCTGTATTTGATGAAGAAATTACATGGCAATAACGCTGTTCTGGTTCCCTAACAGCATTAGCAAGTTGGGATCTGGTAATGACTTTGAAGTTTTTTTCCAAAGACTTGGCATTGCTGCAGGTAGAGCACGTTACACTAAGAATTGGGTAAGTCTATCTCGATAAATTTTCAAGATCGTTTATGAATATATCTAGATTCAGCAAGTAGTTCTACTTGAGTATAAGATGGCAACACTAGGAGACTAGAGGATTTTGAAATCAGAAGGGAGAATTCTCAGTGTTTAGGTATTGCTCATGCATGCAATATTTCCTGCATCTAATACTAAAAGTCCTATATCCAAGTGTCTTTTGTCACCAGGACTTGTTTCTGCAAACTTGAGCTTCCATTTGTCCACTTATACTTTTGGTTTTATCAAAGGCACAATATTTCTTGCTCATTTAAATTAGAAATGTAAGAATTATTAATGGCTCTTCTTTCAATGTAAGTTAGTATCAAGAACTATGAATATTTGTATTTTTATTTATTACAACCTCAACCACTGAACACATAGCAGAAGGCATAATGCACAGAGAACAAAATGGAAATCCTTTCCTATTATTGCTATTGATAATAATTTCTTTAGCTTTCACTTCAGATGAAGTGGCTGATAGTTCATAAAATACCACTTAGTGTGGTAAAAACTTCCAGTTCAAAACAAAGGCTTCTCATCTCACTTCTGTCCTTATCCCAGACCTGATTTCTGCTCATCAGATGAAAATTGCTTCAACTTCTAATTTTTCAGCTTTGTATTGTTAAAGAAAATATATTCTGACACTTGTCAAAATGAAGAGGAAAGCTTTATTCAGGACTATCACCATGGGAATATTGCAGTAGAGGAAACGGAATGAGCCCAGTTCCTAAGGTAGCCAAGACAGGCGGAGATTTACAGCTCACACTAAATCTCCATAGGTGTTTACTCTTGAATTTGTTATTTTTCCACATAGAAAGTCTTGAATCCCCTACAATTGGATTAGGGCTTTTGGCAGGGCTAGATAGGGAGTGAGGATGAGGGTAGATATTAATACTGTCCATATTTTATATATGAGAAAGCTGTAGCAAAAAAGATCAAATAACTTTCCACATTTTTATGGCAATTCCTGAAGATGAAATTTAAACCCTGATAGGTAAATTGTAGATTCCCTTGAACTGTATAAACAGTTATTTTATATCAATAACAAAGTAAGCTCTTTTTAATTTTTTTTAACAAAGTAAGCTCTTTAAAATTGATTTCAAAAAGGCATAAATCAGCAACACACAATAAATATGGCTAATGCAGTACAATGCTTTTTATCATAATAGAAAACGTTGTATTTACAAATAATATAAGTAAATGTACAAAAGATATATTTTGTTATTTTGTAGGATGTCTACAAATTCAGCAGCTATCCACTGTACCACAGTGTCTATGAAACATATGAGTTGGTGGAAAAATTTTATGACCCAACATTTAAATATCATGCCACAGTGGCCCAGGTTCGTGGAGGCCTCGTGTTTGAACTAGCCAACTCTTTAGTGCTCCCTTTTGACTGTCGAGATTATGCTGTAGCTTTAAAAAGTTATGCTGGCACAATCTACAATATTTCAATGCAACATCCGGAGGAAATGAAAACATATGACGTATCCTTTGGTATGTTATACTTCCTCTTTCCAAAATGTTCTGTGTATTTCTGTTAATCTCTAAAATGTAATTGTCCATACTTCAATCATTTATAATGTTTGCAATTACATTTGATGAAACATACTGCTTATGTTTGTAAATCTGTCTCTCAGTCCATAAATACTCATATTTTATAATACATGGGATAGAAATGCTTTGTCAAACACAAAGCAGGATGGTTCTCTGTTACAATTCCCTTTTCTTGAATGATAGAACATGTCTGATGTAGTCAGATATCAAAAGCTAAGCATTCCTGGGGACTTGTTAGTGCTTGGATGGGAGAAGTTATATCCTAAAAGTTTTTGATGATCCAAATTTATGTTTCAGATTCACTTTTTTCTGCAGTAAACAATTTTACAGAAATTGCTTCTAAATTCAATGACAGACTCCAGGACTTGGATAAAAGCAAGTATGTTTTGTGTATTTGTTTCTGCAGTAGGGACCCGTGAATATTCAAAGGGAGTGCTAAACAGCATCTCTGTCACGGAAATGTCTATAGAAACTTTTGGCTGATTTCTCCTCTCCACTCTAATGCAGCCTACTCCGCATTGCCATGTCTCTCAAAGGCCAGTTTCTGACACTGAATGGAAGCTTCTTGCTCAACAGTTTGCCTCCTTCCTGCTAACCGATTTCTTGTGTCATACCCACTCATCTGAGTACTGAGGGCTCTGTTACGGGACCCTAGCTTTTCCCAGTTTTGTGTTATATTTCTTCAGGATCCTTATAGCATACGTCAACTAAATCCCATAATTCCCAGAGCACATCTTTCTGCCTCATGAGATCATTACCTCTGTTCCTCCTTTCCATATCCAGCTGGTGAAATTACGTTTATCCAGAGTAGTAAATATTGTGGGGCTGTCAGTTTTTGTAACTATTATACATATTTCAGATGAATTTTGCATGTAATGCTTAACATGGACAGATTTTAAGAACAAAATGTTTCCCCCGATGATTGAGGAAAAAGAAATTGAAATAGAATTGTGAAGGTGAGCAAACATGGTGTCATAACACAAATACAAAATCCAAGGTAATTGATGCAGGAATACACAGAAGAATAACAATAAATATCCAGAATAAGATCCATGATATTGAAGTGGAAACAAGCTTTGTAAAGAAGGGTACAACAAACATCAATGGGGAAAGACTTACTCAATAAAAAATTGACATTTTAGCAACAGAGAAAAAAGTAAACTCATAATCTGCTTTACATTATATGCAAACAAACAGTAAGAACAGGAGGAATTATTTATTAAAATGGAAATCTCTTGAAAAGGAGATACCAAGCATTGTTAAAAAGCAATGTTGGAAATGGGCCCGTACTGTTGCATAGAGGCATAAGCCACTGCCTACAGTGTCAACATTTTGTATGTCTGTCAGTTCAAGTCCCAGCTGCTTCACTCCCAATCTAACTCCCTGCTAAGACACTCAAGAAAGCAGCGAAAGATCTGAACCCAAGTGGGAGATCTGAAAGAATCTCATAGTTTCCAGCTTTGTACTAGCCCTACACCAGCTGTTACTGCCATTTGGGAAGTAAACCAGCATGTGGTAGAAGAATTCCTTGCTCTACCCTTGGCCTTCTTTCTCTGTAACTCTGTCTTTCAAAGGAATAAATAAATCTTAAAAAAAAAAAAGCAAGGGGAAAAGGACAGTGACATCAGTCTTGAGAATAGTAATATTGTTTGGAATATGAAAAATTAACACTCTGAAGAAAAAAGAATTGAAAACTTCTGTACCAGCCTATATGGAAATGGAGTAATAAACGCTTCAAATTTTTTTAAAAAATGATTTATTTATTTTTATTGCAAAGGCACATTCACAGACAGAAGGAGAGTCAGTGAGAAAGACCTCTCTAGTTCCCTAGCTTAATCCTCAACTGGCCACAATGACTCGAGCTGAGCCAGTCCAAAGCCAGGAACCAGGAGTTTCTGCTGGGTCTCACACATAGGTGCAGGACCCCAAGGCTTTTTGCCATTCTCTGCTGCTTTTCTAGGCCACAAGCAGGAAGCTGGTGGGAAGTAGAACAGCCAAGACAGGAACTGGTGCCCATACGGGATCCTGGTGTATGCAAAGCCAGGGTTTAGCCACTGAACCATCACATCAGGCCCACTTTTTTTTTTTTTTTTTTTTTTTTTTTTAGGATTTATTTATTTGGTTTGCAAAGTCAGATATATGGAGAGGAGTAGAGACAGAGAGAAAGATCTTCCATCTGCTGATTCACTCCCCAAGTGGCCACAATGGCCAGAGCTGAGCCAGGAGCCCAGAGAATCTTCCAAGTGCCCCGTTATACCAATGCAGGATCCCAAGGCTTCTGGCCATCCTCGACTGCTTTCCCAGGCCATAGAGGGAGCTGGATGGGAAGTGGGGCCGCCAGGATTAGAACTGGCACCCATATGAAATCCTGGCACATGCTAGACAAGGACTTTAACTGCTAGGCTACTGTGCTGGGTCCCTGGGCCCACATTTAAAACATTTTTTTTTTATAATTGACAAATGCCAAAGGAATAAAGTTGTAAATATTGATGATAGATATGATAAATAATTCATAAAGAAGATATCACCTGTAAAGAAACAAACAGTAAAGTATTGCAGTGTACCAACAGAGTTTATCAACCCAAATACTATTATTTTATATCAAATTAATTGCAATTTAAATCATAGTTGTATCCACTCATATAGGCATTACAGTTAAGCAAATACTCTCATGCTTTTCCAGTAGTATTGTGAATTATTTTAATATTTTTGAAGACCATGAATGCATAATGATAAATATTTCTAAACTCATCAATTTCTTCTAATGCTTAGGTTTAATATTTCCATTATTGTCAATTTTTTTTGATGGAAAAACATTCATTTGGGAAGAAAAAGACTGTTGAGAAAAAATATGAATTCTAGAATTATAGCAAAACTTAATGCTAAAAGAAATTGCTTTCAAAATTAATTAATTAATTATATATATTCAGAACTCATCATTAAAACTAATAAATTTAAGAAATATAATGAGATACTTACAATGAAGTCAGAAGTAAACCAAGGCTATGAAATACTTAGTTTCTATTGAACAAAGAGAAAAACCTTATAGGGTGTAATTCAATTCAGTGAATTTTGTTTTACATTCAAAATTTTTTTCCAAAATTTCCTCGGATTAAAACAAATGAAAAATTAGAATTCTGTGATAAGGTAATCTTAAACAACATATAAGACTGTGAAGCTGGTTTTCTATCTTCAAAAATTACTAAGTTTTCTACTTTGGACAAAGTGTTTTATGGCTTTGATTACAGTTATTTTAGGACATGTGTCTCTTGCTTTCCTGAGTCTTTTTGTGTTTTTCACATTATTGATAAACAATAGTTGTCCTCAAGTCCTCACTAGAAAATTTGTCATACTTCAGGAGTGAAAAGAGTATGTTGACACAAATCTTGTGCTTGGAACACTTGCCTGCCATTGTTCCTTAGGGTTACCGTCTTCAGTGTACAAAGAAACACTGGAGGGATTTCAGTAGTAGCTGAATGATCAGATTGCTGCAGGGGTAGGTGTTTGTACAGGTACAGTTTATGTGTGGATGCATACACGAATGGCTGCATTTGAAATAATGACTTTGAATGAGATTCATAGTAAAATGATCTCAATTGTCTCCGTCCATTATAGGAAATGTTACCATAAATCTATGCTGTGTTCATACTACCACAAAATCTCAAATTATGAGACTAAATAAATGTTGAAACTAGCTTAAATCTAAATGGCAGGTACTTTAGTTATTCCTTAATTTCTATGACACAGTTGTAAGCATCATGCTGACCTCATGTTTCACTCTAAAACTGAAGATTAAAATAGCATGTTCCTAACTATTTAAAGTAATAAATGTTACACAGGAAGTGATTTGTAAAGTTATGTTATTAAAGTTTTATTATAAGAAGATTAAGAACCAAAGAATATTTCAGTAATACTGAATTGTTCCTTTAGTAATAACAAACCTACCAGCAGCCTGTGTGATGTGAGATCTGTTACAGCAGTGAGGATTTGGTGTATCACAGCCTTCCATCATTGTTGACATGTTAGGGGAAACACAGTAATGTGTGCTCACCAACATTGTCTTCAATAGTATTATCATCATTATTGCCACCATTGGCTATCACTTGATAAATCACTAAATGTGAATGGATTATCACTTCTATGAGTAGATTATTAGTCCACCAAGGGTGAAAGAGTCCTGTTTATATTTATCATCTTAGTTTTATCAATAATTATTTTGATACAAATATTACTATCATTTTCTCACATAATTATTTGTGTGATTTAATAAATCTCAATGTAATCCTAATTCAAAGGGTTTTAAAAATATGGTCACTATGTATTATACTGGCAGGTTTCGTTTTGCTCTATGTGTTTAGTTTTCTGAGTAGTAGATCCACTTTCTTGAGGGTTTCACTATTTTCCTTTTACAGCCCAATATTGTTGAGAATTGTGAATGATCAACTAATGTTCCTAGAACGAGCCTTCATTGATCCCTTAGGGCTACCAGACAGGCCTTTCTACAGGTAAGGAAAAAATCTAATTCCTTTCCATAGTGTTATTATTTATTTGTTTATGGTCGAAACAAAAATTTCTTTTCACTTTGAAACTTCCCAGGACAGGGCTGTTGCATGAACTGGCTTAACCCTTGCAACAGAAGTCTTCTATCTAGATCACATAGAACATTGCAAAACTATTTTTAATGATTCATCATGCTTTAAATTAATTGTTTTAGCATGTTAGCGAATCTTTTTTTAAAGAACAGAAAAATGCCAAGACAGTAATAGGGTGTTTTATATACAGGATCAATGATTATATCATGCTATAATTTAGGGCATAGTATGATATAAGATTTCAGCACTTATCTGCAAAATTATATCAAGACTAATGGCTTACCTACTTAACCATTTGAACTTCAGTTTCCTCCTTTATGAAATTAGAAAAAGTTCAGATTTCAGAAATCTTCTGTTAAGATGAGAAACATCATAAATATTTTTTAATAACAGACATGACTATAGTGGGTAGCCAGCTATTTTTGCTATCATTGTTATTATTACTAACCAACACATTTGTTTAAAGTCAGGACATATTTCATAGGCTAATCTTTAAGAATAATTAAACTTGTAAGTTCAATTGATAAGTGAATCATTCAGATTATAAAATTATGAATAGGCTATCCAGGAATGATTGACTGGTCTTTTTTTTCTCTTGTCTTTTATTTAGGTGACTAATAGCAAACTATTTTATCCACAGGCATATCATCTATGCTCCAAACAGCCATAATAAGTATGCAGGAGTGTCATTCCCAGGAATATATGATGCTCTGTTTGACATTGAAAACAAACAGGACCAATCCAAGGCCTGGGAAGAAGTGAAGAAACAGATTTCTATTGCAGCCTTCACAGTGCAGGCTGCAGCAGGGACTCTGAGGGAAGTCGCTTAAGAGGATACCTTAGACAGTATGTACTGAATCCTATGGCATGTCAATCAGAAAGAATCATAACGGCCATATTCATGTAGAAAATGGAATTAAAATATGAAATTAATAAAAAAAAAAAGCTTTATCAACCAAGCTCTATCAAGTTCAAGACACAAGTAATCATGTCAAGATCCATTTCATCCATCCTTTAAAAACTGAGAATTCTGGAAACTTCACCATATCAATGCCATCCTTTTTACATTATAAACTGAACAAAAACCAATGCCTTTTAAACATATTTTTTAAAGTAGAAAGCAAATGAGAAGCTGCCACTTCAGGACTGTAAGTTGGATGCCAAATGATTTCCTGTCAAAACTTCTGCTTGATAAGAGGAATAGTCAGGAACATTAAAAAAAAAAAAAAAGATTCTCTGGTAAAACCTTCCCAGGTATTTTCCAGTTCAAGTTTTGGCTAACTTTTCTGTAGAAATCTCATTGTAAGACCATGTTATTATTCTTTTGCCTTGAAAAGTCAACAGTGGTTAATAAACTTTTAGAATTTTTAAAAAACAGTTGCCATGCCGTTTTCTCTTTGCGTATCTGCTTTTGCTCTGACTCTGGACTGCTTCTATCTCCTGGTATCCATTGCTTGAGTAGTGGTTTGCCTTTAGTATTATGCCAGCAAAGATGAGCTTCATCTTCTGTTCAAACTTCAGATAAATACTTCAGGCTCTAGATCCTAATTGTCTAAAGCTTCTATTGGAAGCTCTTTTCTCGTCTATAGCCTTTTTATGTGCAGTAGGTTGGCAACCCACAGAGGACAAGTCTGCTGGACTTTTTACAGTCAGAATTGTGTCACCTGAAGTAATTGAGCCAGATAGGATGTGGGTCATGGCTTTTGCTGTTAATCATTGGTCTTTTTCAATTAGGATGTGAACTAGATTAAGTTTTCCCCCTCGGAGGCTGATGTGGATGGTCTCTACTGAGGCTTCATCTTGAGCGTGAGCTCACTTCATCTTAAAATGAGTTATGCATTTGTAAATTGATGATTTCTATGTTTAAATTATTTACATAAACTTGCATGAAGCATCAGTTATGTCTCCTACCACTAAAGTTTCACCATGATTTTGGTGTTTGTAATTGTTTCAGTTTTAGTAGGACTTACGTTGCTCTATTAGAAGGTGTTTCTTAATCTTGCTGCCACAAGCTAGTGCTATTCACCCGTGTCATTGTATATTAGTATGAGTTTATTTAGGCACAAGAACTTTTAAAGATGCATGCATAGTTTTCCATACTATACATAGTTCAAGCTTCCATGAGCCTTAGAAAACCATATATTTGGAGATAGTATAAACATTACTTTTCCTCTCTAAGGATCAAAAGCAAAGTAGACAAGCATTATTCTATAATTACATAACATCATAGTGAAGTTGACAAGCAGAATTAAATAATAAAGCTAAGGAGAACTGCCTAATATAATAAAAAAAAAGTATGTGGAATCACCAGGAAATATAGTCCTTCCAAATACTCTCAAATATGCTGTTGTCAAGCATATGGGGAAAAGTATACAAGGCTGTCCCAAGACACCGGGGCAGAGATTTCGGGATCTGCTTGGCCACTGAGTAACAAGGTCATGATTGCAACATACTGCTTGGGAAACTGATGTAGTCACAACTCATAAATATAGTGAATCTATAGTATAATAATTACCTTTTACAAATAAGATGTATTCTTGATAAAAGGCTATAAGCAATATATGTAAAGTGAAAAATTATACGAACCTTTTTGAAAACAAAAACCAGATAAAAAACATTATCAATAACTTTCGATCCCCCACATATTTGCTGAACAAGAAGTGGCCATTGTTGTTAGGGCAGATTGGAACAGGTGATGCCAATGAAATTTACTATGTAAACAAAATTTTAATATGTAAATACTTGCTATGTAAATGGGTATTTACATATTGCTATGCTAATGAAATACTTTTTTTTTCTACATGATACACTTGGATGAGAATACTGATTCTAGCCCAAATGAAAAACTATTATTTTATTTTCATCATATAGTTTGCTTATTCCATAATACTTTTATCTGATAGCATTGTAAAATACTTTTCAGTAAGCTGAAGCTGTGTATTTGCATGTTGTATGCTGAGTGGGATTCAGAAACCATGTGAATTAGCTAACTCTGTACAATGGAAAAGTGTAAAGCAATTTACACAGATCTGGACAGCTTATGATTAAATAGAGTCAAATCACAGCCTAAAAATGAACCTTATATTTTAGATATTATATTTTAGACTTATATTTTAGATGGCAGTCTCATGAACAATTATACCAAAGCCATGTTTAGCAGCCTTGGCTTATGCAATTGGAAACAAAATGCATGAACTTTAAGAATGAATCTCTGGGGCCCGGCGCGGAGGCTCAGTGGTTAAGGTCCTCGCCTTGCACGCCCAGGATCCCATATGGGCGCCGGTTCTATCCAGGCAGCCCCGCTTCCCTTCCAGCTCCCTGCCTGTGGTCCGGGAAAGCAGTCGAGGACAGCCCAAAGCTTTGGGACCCTGCACCCGCGTGGGAGACCCAGAAGAGGCTCCTGGCTTCGGATCGGCATAGCATTGGCCGTTGCGCTCACTTGGGGAGTGAATCATGGGACAGAAGATCTTCCTCTCTGTCTCTCCTCTCTGTATATCAGCCTTTCCAATAAAAAAAAAATAATAAAAAATAAATCTTTAAAAACAAAACAAAACAACAACAACAACAAAAGAATGAATCTCTGAAAGACTTCTTCACTGAGGACACTTATTTCTTGTTAGTTTGTTGGGGTAGTCCCTCAACTGTGCTTTGTTCCATGATGCTAATAGTGGTACTGATACAGATTCCCTGCTGTGAAGCCAGTGGAGGAAAGCAGATGATCCGCTGAGGTGCTGGGCCCCTGCCCTCTTTTGGGAGACCTGTGTGGAGTTCATGACTCCTGATTTCAGCAATCGCCTTTGTAGTCATTTGGGCTCTCTCTGTTTTTCTCTCTGTCCCTCTTGTGTAACTATTTGTCAGCTAAATAAATAAATCTTTTTTTAAAAAAGATTTTTTTTTTAATTTTTTTTAAAGATTTATTTTTATTATTTTTTTATTGGAAAGGCGGATATACAGAGAGGAGAGACAGAGAGGAAGATCTTCCGTCCGATGATTCACTCCCCAAGTGAGCGCAACAGGCCGATACTATGCCGATCCGAAGCCAGGAGCCTCTTCCGGGTCTCCCACGCGGGTGCAGGGTCCCAAAGCTTTGGGCCGTCCTCGACTGCTTTCCCGGGCCACAGGCAGGGAGCTGGAAGGGAAGCGGGGCTGCTGGGGATAGAACCGGCGCCCATATGGGATCCTGGGCGTACAAGGCAAGGACCTTAACCACTGAGCCACCGCACCGGGCCTAATAAATCTTTTAAAAATCTTTGTATTGGCATTCCTTCCATGTGATAAAATTCTAGGAGCTTTTGGTGAAGTAGTCAAAACTCTCTTAAAAATCTAATAAATTTACAAACTAGTTCAAAAATAATTATGTAGCCAATAGGAAAAGATGACTTTTTGTAATAGGGTTGCTGTTCTATTACCAGTACTGTTTTGATCAAGTTTATTGTCTGTATAGAAGTATATGAGGAATAGATTTCCACACATCCAAGACAACCTACAAATATGTTAAGAAAATGGAGACATTAATAGGATTACACATGTCAGTATGCAGTAAATCATGAAAATTCCAAAATGAGCAGCACTTTGCCGAGAATGAATGGAAAGGCATTTTCAGATTACAGGTTGCTGTTCTCTGAAAGAGGACAGGTTACTGTTTGTGCAAAGTAGTACTTATTTTGGAATTTTCTCACAAAGACACAAAGCAGTTACTTATGTCAATGTGAGACTTCAAAGTGAAGATTGTAAAAGTTGACTAGTTGTTACAGATTTTCTCTATATAATTTCCATAACCTACTTTGGTAATAAAACTTTTCAGTTTGAATTGTTTTTAAAAAAATTTATTCTATTACTGCTGTTTCTTTTTAAAATCTCCTGTTTATTTTGTTCAATTTTTAAGTTCTGTCCTGTTATTATGAGACATTTCAAACAATTCAGAAAAATAAGAGTTCAATGAGAACAAATGGACTTTTTAGCTAGCATAGTTTAATATTGTTTTCATCAGCAAATATTTTATATATACAGATACATACATATTGTTTGCAACAAAGGATGGTGTATTAATATAATATTGAATCATTACAGAGGTCATAAAATTAGGGAAAAAGTATACATTATTAGGTAAGGAGTAGGAGTCGGTGAAAACAAGTATATGCAAATAATACGGCATTCACACATTTTCTCTATTATAATGCCTATTATAGTTCTTCACTTTCTAATGTGAAGAAAAGTATTTGCTTCTGTCCTTTTGTTTTTGCTGTAATTTATTAAACATAATGTCTTCTGATTTTACCAATGTTGTTTTAAATTTTAGAATTCCATTGTTTTCATGGTTAAGTGTATATAATACTTTTCCATTATCCCTTCATCAACTTGAGATATATATATATATATATATATATATGTTTTGCAGTAGTTTTAAAAAATATTTTTGATGATGTTTACATAGTTGATTACAGTGAGGTAGGTTGAGGATTAGGGGAAAGTGGGTGAGATTATTGTTTCCACATTCTATTTTCTTCTATCTGTACCTGGGGGAAGGCAGGAGAAAAGGGGAAAAGCCACACCCAGACTTTCAACAACCTCAGTGCCTGGGGTACAGCCTCCCGATGTCTTCCCAGGGTCCCTGATGCGGGGCATGCTCTGAGGGTCCTGGTCAAGTGGTCTTGATATTTTGATAGTTCAGAAATGCTGTTGATCTCACCATTCCAAGAATGATGAAAAAAATCCCTTAACAGTGCACTGGTTGACTTAATTCAACTTAGTCTCCATTCGCTCAGAGCATGCCCCACATGCTGCCAACACTTGGCTGGGGTAGTTAATCAATTTGATCTGCCCTCTTTTCTCTGTTAGGGTACTAGATTTCCTCTGCAGGCTCCAATGGACTGCTATATCCTCTGTGTACATTTGGGCATGCCATCCACTGCTCTTTCCAAACCACTCAGGAGACCCAGCTCTGACTCATGACTTCAACATACAGACCACAGAACCTTCAATTCTCTTCTCCCTGTGGTTAGAGTTCTGAGTCCAGCGATTCTGTTGGAGGAATTCCCAAAGAAACTTGGTCTGCCTCTTGTGTGTGCTTGCCAGTATGCATTCTGGCTCTTTACATCACCTACATCAGCCTACAACACTCAGTAGCAGTTGAAATTGCTGGGTTAGTTCCAGTCCCATTTCTTATGCAAACCAGTGGATGCTCCAGCCCAGTCAAACCCTACTCACCACACTTGACCCTCATGTATACCAGCAGGAGCTGAAGCCTAGTTGGAGCAGCCCCAATAACCTTCACTAGGTCTGCCCCCAGCTCTGGTTCCTGTGCTTGCCAGTATGCACAGTGGGCTGATCTAGTCTGTCCCACCTTCCATTCGGCTCTTATACACAACAATGGGC